GGAAACCCCCCCACATTGTTAAGATCAAGTTAAAATTACTACACAATTAGTCCTTGTAATAATTATAACAGTAATATAGTTCGTATAAGAATATATATCTCTCAAAAATGAATAATTTGTGGTGGATATATAATATTAAGTCAAAATTCACGTACAGTGGATACAAATGAACAAGAAAAGAGCCTTAGAATACTGAGCATGAGACGGGTCCATGAGTAAAATAATAATGAATTTGGCAGGGATGGAAAATTATATAAGACTAGATGACCACCCAATAGTTGATGATATACTGTACTTTGCCTCGGAATACCAAAATATGTGAGCTGCATCCATTTCTCTCTGGATCTAGACTTTTCCTACAATACAAATTATAATATTGAAGTAGCTAGCCATACATATAAGGACGGCTAGAAAGGCAGGCTAGCCATACTTAATGATGACTAAACTGACAAAAAGAAAAAAATTGCTGAATTTGTAAATAAAATTTTAGTTTGTAGTAACCTAAAGTATATTAATTTGTATTTGTGACGAAACCAAAAGGTGCCTCAAACTGACAGGCATCATGTATTTAAAACTTGAATAATTACTAATGAGACAGTTACAAAACGCAATAAAACAAAATTGGAAGCTGAGACTGACACAGATGAAACTTGATAATGACAAGGTTCAAACTTAAATCTCCTAAAAGGGAAATGTCTTCTTCCTAGGAAGGGTGGTTGGCGGGTGCTCTGGTGTGGTTTGCTTCTTCTTTCCTATCAAACGTCTATTGTCTTTATCTCCCCTGCTTCTTTTTTGTGTTTGTTACTCTCTTGTAACACCTCTAATCTTCGGCACTTATATCACCTTATTGTGTTGCAAGTGCCGTAAAACACTTACTAAAACTAAAAACTCTTCCTAGGGAGAAACGTAGGAAGCAGTTTCTTAAAAACCTTGGCTCCAGGATTGTGGAATAAAACATGTGTCCTATATGGGGATCTGGGGTCAATTATGACAAATGACGACAAACTACCCTTTGTTTCTCTTGAAATTAACCTTCCTTGATCAAATAAGCAGTATTATAGTTCAATAGAAGTGTAACAAAGAAAATAATAATGGATGAAATTTCCCTGGAAAAAACCCCCCAAGAAATTTAAACACCTGGGGAATTGATGACGCCATGTGTCATAAGTGACACTTGCTCTTTTTCAGATGACTAGTTCATTTGTTTCTTTATCATTTGGAATGAAATGTGATTCCAAATAATACATTTTCAACATTCTCCTTTTCAACTAAGAAGTAAGAAATATCATAGATGAATATACACCAAGTGTCAATAATATTGTCCCATTGTCCCTCAATAATGGCCACCCATCAATAAACAGTAAAACGCACGGAGAATGAAAAATCAACAAAATTCATGAAATATGAACCAAACCAATCTTTGACACACTGACTTAGTGTTTGTAAAGGAAAATGTTGAGTACACAAGTCCCATTAGTTAAATAATTATTATTCATGTTTAAAATATGCACGATGTCAGTAATAGTAAGAGGCACCTTTTGGTTTTGTCTCAAATAATACTTTTTTAGATACAATCTAAGATTTTATTTACAACAGTATTTTGAGCTTTTTCTCAGTCTAGCCATCATTAAGTACGGCTAGCCTGCCAGTCTTGACGTCCTTAAGTACGACTAGCCTCTTCCTTGAAAGGGTGCCCACTAGCGTGGTCGGGTCAGGTCAGGTCGATTTGGTAATCGGAGCTAGCTAAATTGAGGGCGCAAAGCAGCCATCGTGGCACAAACCGATCGACTCGGTCGGTGACCTTCAAAAACGAATCCATTTGTTTTCAGGCCTGCGAGTCGCATGATCAGGCGGTTTGCAGCCAATCACAACAAGGCTGAGTCAGGTAATAATAATAATAATAGATAGCATTTGTATAGCGCATATCCCCGCTCAGCAGCAGGCTCTATGCGCTTTACACTATATTATTACCCCAGCAGACCATAGAACAGTCCGAAACATTCTCAGCTTCCCAGGAAGCATACAGTGCGAGCAGCCGATTAAGCGCTCAAACACTAACAAACTGACAAGATCTTTCGCTGTCTGTAGCCGGGTACCCATTCCCACCTGGGTGAAGTGAGGAAAATTCGTGTAAAGTGCCTTTCCCAAGGACACAACGTCGGACCCTTGATGGGATTCGAACCCACGACCTTACGGTTGCGAGTCCGAGAGCCTAACCACTAGGCCACCGATGCTGTGCTGTCAAGGTCGCGCATTTCCGCGTGAAATACCATTAACAATTGACAACAATAATGGAGTCCATCCACTTAAAGAAAATAATAGAAAGTTATCGAAGTAACCCAATGTTTTTATGGGATTCCAGGCTGCCGCAGCACTGCAACTGGGAACGGCGGAAAGGAGCACTAGACTTGAAGCCACTGAAGTAAAATGTTTCTCTACTTTAACTTCCACGTCGTCAGGTACAATCGCGGCGGGGTTTTGTAGAGTGCACTGAAATCATCAGAAAACGACCCGACCTGATCGCGTTTATGGGCACCCCCTATAGTATTATGCCCACACAACTGTGCAGACTTCCGAAAAACATTAGAAGTGGAAGAAACCAAGAAAGAGAACCCACCCTCAAAATGTCTGAAATAAGCTAATTGCAGTCTTTTGGTCTTGCTTAGCACTTGGCCTTGGCTTGACTTGACTCCATCTGACAATTTTGCGTTCAAGAAAGTGCAAAGTTTTTTACACTAGGATACTAAAGTTTTTATGATTACAGTGGAATCCTGTTATAACGAGAGGGGGGGACTGGTACAAAATTTCAGTTATAGCAGGATTCTTGTTACATAAGGGATCCAGTAATAAATTCAAAGGAAATTTATAATAAAGTAGGCCTAGTGTATGAATTTGGTTGTACATATATTTTTGGGTTTTTTTTTTTCTCACCCCTGATGATGATTTTGCCCAACATGACCTCTTGGTCTTATTTGATCAAAAATCGAATCAGGTTTCCTTCTCTAGCATTAGTAATGTTGACAGCTCGGCGTTGGCGATCAGAAAGAGTTCTCTTGGCTAACTCGCCCACTGTGTTTTCCCCCACCCCACCACACCCTGTGGTGCATTCCGTCTGCTTGCGCATGTCACACATCAGGGTGACCTCTCCATCCTCGCATCGGAGAAGTGAGACGCATGGTAGGCCTAGATAATCTAGACTAGGCTGGCCTATCACGCGATGCGCTCTGCTTCACAATAGCTTGTCTGCGCATTGCCACACCCTCCCCACTCATTTGCTCCGGCCTTCAATGTTGGCACACATGGGCTCTCCCATTCTTTGTTTCGCTTGATCATCAGCAATTCAGTCTCTCAACAGGCGAGGTTTTACATGTATAAATAGCCTATGCGCTGTGCACAGCAGCAGCAATATTCCGCAATATATTTATAACTATCTGATTGTGTTATAGCAGTATTTTATACAAAGATAAAAAAAGGAAAAAAAACGAAGTTTTACAAGAGAGTCTTTATAACAGACTTCTCGCTATTTCAGGACTCGTTATAAGTGGACTCCACTGTATTTATATTGGTCAATGTTGTCGAGATACGCCTGCCTATATATAATCTTAAATGACTTTGGTATGCCTCTAGGAAGAGGCTAGCCGTACTTTCTTAATATGAAGGCTAGATTGACCATAAAAAAGGCCTACTGAACTGTAAATAAATTTTTAGTTTGCAGTACCTAAAGTATTTGTATTTCAGACGAAACCATGAGGTGCCTTAATGACAGTGCATGTATTTTAAACCTCCTGCCTGTTTTCTAATGTTAATAGGGCCTAAGTACGGCTAGACTTCTTGGCTAGCCGTATGTATAGACTTCTTGGCTAGCCGTAGGCTAGATTATCAGGCTAGCCGTACTTGATGAGCCGTAGGCTAGATTATCAGGCTAGCCATACTTGATGGCTGAATTGTAAATGAAACGTTTAGTTGGCAAAGCCTAATAGAAAGTACCTGGGCCCCCTTTCGATGAAAGGGATGATCAGTGCTTTAATATAAGCTAAAAGTCATTGGCCTACTATATTTACACTCTACTGGAATGGGGAAATAAATATTGAGAGAGACGCAAAAAATTAGGTCTAGATCTATACTCTCAAAACAAAATGCGCCTCGCGAAATATCACTTCCGGATTTTCTAAAATTACAGAGACAGAAGCGTCGGACTTCAAAAGCGATCAGCGAAATAAAGAAATTTAGCTTTTTGCAGCAAAACTGTCTCAAAACTGAAAAAACCAAGCAAGGGCGCCATGATCTGGAGAATATTTTAGAGGATTTTTTGGCGAAAACCGCATGTCGATCGATGCAGCCATTAAAAAGCCTTTTGAATAGCAAAATTCGGCCACCACAAATAGATTTAATAGATTTGTATTTCAGACAAAACCAAAAGGTGTCTTACTTTACTGACTTGCACTATTTAAACCTGAATAATTAACTAGATCAAGATCTAAGTCTAATGAGATCTAAGTACTGGCAGTCTAGCCGCACTTTAAAAAAACGGCTAGACTAGCTAGCCACTTCGATGTCTCTATCATCAGTTTCTACACTCTATTGTAGTAGGTAGTCTTGGTATCTAATATAGATCTAGATCTATAGATCTATGCCTCTATCATCAGTTTCTACTGACTTTATTTATCATATGTATGTAAAGTAGAATCTAGGTAGGCATGGATCTAGATTCTAGATCTAGTTTACTATTCATGCATACCCATGAATCCATGATGAGTTCGATGTCATGTCTATTATTATCTGAACAGAAGCAGCGAAAAGAACAACAGTTAGCAAGCACAACTCAGTCTTCAGATCTATGCCTAGACTCTAGACTGTCTAGATCTAGATTCTAGATTATCTAGATCTAGATTCTAGATATAGATCTAGATTCTAGATCTAGATTCTAGATCTAGATTCTACATATCTGGAAGGCTAAGGCAAGGAGTCTCGGGCAGATCCTAGATTTATTCTCTAATCACCTTTCAAAACAAAAATTCGTTGTCGTTTCACATAGATCTACTACACAGCCGCGATAACAAACATCACAGCCAGTGTGTAGGCCTAGGCCTATCACAAACAGATGATAACATTCGGCAGTCCAAGACGAGAGAATGGAAACAAAACAACGAAGTCACATGATCGCAAAGGGGGAGTTACCAAGCAAAGTTGATCATCTCAAAAAGTACAAAACAAACAAACCAACATCTAAATCTAGATCTAGATATTAGATCTAGATCTAGATCTACTTACAATTTATTGCTCCTCAAATTGGACTGAAAATAACTTGATAACTTAGATTTTGTTAGAATCTAGATATATAGACTAGATATCTAGATTCTAGATCAAGATCTAGACCATAGATCTAGGCTAGTTTACACCTTTGTACAGTCAACCATAATAATATCATCACAATAATACAATGAGATCGAAATCGGTAAAAATAGTTCAACATCCAAACACTTACGATAAAACATAATCGATCCCAACATAACATTCTTTCTTTTTATACATGATAGTCGAGTACTTTGGACTCGCTCGCCCGTCTTCAAGAAAGGATTGATATAATCGCACGGTAGAGCAGAAACAATTGAAGAGTGGGGTGGGCAGGGCAGCAGCAGCAGTAGACCTAGATCTAGAATCTAGATCAACGGTCACGGCACGGCGCCATTTCCTGAAAAGTTGTTGTAGTATTGTACTGCTAAACTGCTATTTGAGAGACTGATATTTTTGAATGAAAAAAGCCCGTCCGTAGATCAGATGTCAACAAAGTGGTAACAAATAGAATCTAGATCTAGATCTATCTATATCTAGTGTTATAATTAGGCTAATTAAAATTAATTTTATTCCTAGGATCTAGAATAGATCTAGATCTAGATCTAGATTAGATATCTAGAGATACCTCGTGAATATAGTTTGGGATCTAGAATCTAGATTTCTCTAGCACTCTTTGAAGTCTTTGGGTTGCGAGTGGCAATTTTGTTTGGTAAGAAGATTGAGAATTGAGGTCAGGATTAGTACGGACAAATCTTGATTCCAGTAGTAAAAGTGAGGCTCGAGGCAGGCGCCTAGTTGGCGCAACGCCGCGGTCTGTCTGACCCTGAACTGAATAGCTCCGGTGCTATTTGAAACGCTGCGATAGATTCTGAATAGCTCACATGCTATTTGAAGGCCACCTCTATTCTCACCCAGTTGAGAATAGTGCAGGCGAGTCTTTTGGCTATTCGCTATTCTCACCCGGTGCGCGTTCACCGTTATAGCCTAGATCTAGGCCAACAAATTTTGCGTTCACCCTAAACCACAGAATTCTACACTGTGATAACAGAAAAATTGTAGAATTCTGTGCAGTGAACAAACGTTCCATTACAACTGTAGCCTACTAAAAGCGTACAATTTTGTCTGTGGGCAGTGGAGAGAGAGAGAGAAGGAGAGAGGAGTAGCGCGAGAACTTCCGGTCAAAACAAAATGGCGACCCGCGTAGTTCGGCTCGATTCGAAAAGTTAAATAGCCGTAGCATCTTTGTAGACAACCAAATTAATTTACTTTTGTGTTATTATAACATCATTTTTTAACTTTGTTTTGGTCAATTTGATCGTCCACACCGATGGACAGTATTCAGAAAGAGACAGAGAGAGAGAGGAGGAGTAGATCTTGCGAGAATTTCCGGGCAAAACAAAAGGCGACCCGCATAGTTCGGCTCGATTCGAACAGTGAAATAGCCATATCATCTTTGAAGACGATCAAATTAGCTTACTTTTGTGCTATAACGTATTTTTTTCTTGGCTTTTATCAAATTGATCATCCACATCGATAGAAAGTATTCCGAAATGAGGAAAAACAGGTCTAGTTTCAAACCGGGTGAGAATAGCCTACGGTCGCAAGTCTCACCCGGGGTGAAAGGTAGATCGTTTTTCTATTCTCACCCCGGATGAGAATAGCCACTTCCCTATTTGAAACTCCAGTACTAGAGACAGATCTAGACCTAGTAGCCATCGGGTGAGAATAGTGCAGGCGAGTCTTTTGGCTATTCTTACCCCGTGCGCGTTCACCGTTATAGCCTAGATCTAGGCCAACCAATTTTGCGTTCACCCTAAACCATAGAATTCTACACTGTGATTTTATAACAGAAAAATTGTAGAATTCTGTGCCGTAAACAAACGTTCCATTACTACTGTTAGCCTTCTAAAAGTAAAAGTGTACAATTTTGTCTGTGGGCAGTGGAGAGAGAGAGAGGAGTAGCACGAGAACTTCCGGGCAAAACAAAATGGCGACCCTCGTAGTTCGGCTCGATTCGAAAAGTTAAATAGCCGTAGCATCTTTGTAGATGACCAAATTAATTTACTTTTTTGTGTTTTAACATCATTTTTAAAACTTTGTTTTGGTAAATTTGATCGTCCACACCGATAGATAGTATTCAGAAAGAGATAGAGAGAGAGAAGAGGGGAGGAGTAGATATTGCGAGAACTTCCAGGCAAAACAAAATGGCTTATTTTTACCAACAACGTCCAAAATTCGAATTATTGTACGAATAAACTCTGTCTGGTTATTGGTGCAATTGTATTAATAACTGGTTAGAGTTGTACACACTATTGTACCAGTATCCACCGCCTTTTTTTATGACGTTGTCTTATTCTCCAATCATTATTGGGTAGATGTAGATTAGATCTAACCTTTGTTTCTGACATTGTTTGCACAAACGCAGTGGCTACGTTCACGGCGGCCTTAAAGTAGTTGGCAGGCTACGTTCACGGCAGCCTGAATGAAGTTTGCAGGCGCTGTTGAGGCTACGTTACGGCACTAAAGCTTTCTTTAGACTGAGTGTCCACTGTCGGTTTAAGTAAGCCGGTTTTAGTCACTGACGACAGTAACGTATTTAATATTTTGGCCTACTTCTAACGTTCCATCCTATGAGATGAAGGAAAACGAAGCGGTGATCCTGGACCGATCGACCATTCGTCGTTTTCCATTGCACTGGCTCAGAGCTTGCCAGTAAAAAATGTGTAAGGGAAAGCGACGAACTTTCAATTACGCAACAACGCGTTAGGAAATATATGACAAAAATGTATACACCAACCAAGATGTCTCAATTGCCCTATCTCGCGTCTTGGCGAGACTTGAGCGCGACCGTGTATTAGCGCGTGATGGCCCGTGATAATAATATACTTGTGTAAACAAATGTTCCAGAGCTCTGGAGTTGAAAGCGTGCAATTTTTGTCTGCAGGCAGTGTGTGTGTGAGAGAGAGAGAGAGAGAGAGAGAGAAGGAGAGGGGGGGGGGAGAAAGAGGGAGGGAGAGACAGATAGACAGAGGCCGAGAAAAATAGAGAGAGAAGAGGGGGGGAGGAGAGAGAAAGAGAGAAGGAAAGAGAAAGGGGGAGAGAGAGAGAGAGACAGACAAACTGAAAGAGAGAGAGAGAGAGAGGGTGATTGATATTATAATAAGAATTTATAATTGATTCCCGTCATTTTCTCTCTGCGTCGGTTCCCACGCTGACCCGCTGCAGTGCAGTCATTATTGTTATATTGTACTCTTTTTATGACCTGTCCCATCTTCTGAATCCCACCTTCAGTTTCCCATCTCTCACCTCTTGTTTCCCATGTTCCGTTCCTATTTTCCATTATATCCCATTATATCCTGACTTTAATTCTGTAAGGGTGTTTTCCTTCATCTCATGGGATTCAACACTTGAAGCTGACAAAAATTTAATATTAAAATACGTCACTGTCGTCACTGACTAAGACCGGCTGACTTAAACTGGCAGTGGAAGCTCCCCCAAAATGAAGCTTTAGTGCCGTGAATGTAGCCTCAACAGCGCCTGCAAACTGCATTCAAGGCGCCATGAACGTAGCCTTCCAACTACGTTCATTGCACCACTGCGTTGCACAAAAGTAGACTAAACGTAGTTTTGTTCATCTCTCATAAAATCATAATCATTTGAGTTTGAGCAAGTAAGTGGAAAGACGCTTGGATAACAATAACAAGACAGTGCAACTTGGTATAAGCAGTATTTCCTGTCCGCAGTGTCATCATACCATAGATCTACCTAAAAATATTATCTTTAAGTTAGGTCTACAGAACGTATACAAGCTGTCATTGTTCTCAAATGTTCAGTGCTTGCAAGCGTGGCTTCGAATCTCGGTCCCAGAAGATTTTTTTTTCTTCTTCTGTGCCTAAAGTTTAAAAAAAAAGCAACTAAACTCTCAAACCAAGGAAAGCCTGTATTGAACTCTAACCAGGCCTAGCTCCTGGGGACAAAACCAGAAAGTGCATGCTTCATCCCTACACAAACAACTAAAAGCTCTCTCTTGCCCTTTTTGACTCCCAGTGGAGCACAGGCCATCAACAACATTACTCCAGCGAAGCCTGTCCTGAGCATCCTTTTCTAGCTGTTTTCATGATGTTCCCGCTTTTTCAATTTCCGCTTGTACTGCTCGCCTCCATGTCATCTTTGGTCTTCCCTTCTTACGTTTTCCTTGTGGGTTCCACGTTAAAGCCTGCCTGATGATGCTTGTCAGGTGTCTCCTCAGGGTGTGTCCAATCCATTTCCATTTCTTCACCTGTATGTCTTCCTTTACTGGCCTTCGGCTTGTTCTTTCCCACAGTTGAACATTAGTGACTCGATCGTACCTCTTGATCCCCACTATCCTTCGTAGGCATCCATTTACAAAGCTCTGCAGTTTCCTTGCTACATGCTGCTGATACTGTGAGCCTCCATGTCTCTGAACCATACAGTGGAACAGTCGTCACGTTTGTTGTGAAGATCCTCAGCTTGGTGTTAAATCCCAGTTCCTTACACATCCATAAATGTTCCTGAGAATGATGAATGCTGCTCTTGCCTTTTGGATTCTGACCTTGATGTCTTCGTCTGTTCCCCCTGCCTTGTTGATGACACTTCCCTGGTAGGTGAAGGATTCAACATCCGCCAATGGTGCCCCTTGCAGTGTGATAGGAACGTCGGCTGCATCCATTCGTAGAACTTTCATTTTATCCGTGTGAATATGGAGTCCAACTCTACGGGAGAAGGTCCCGAGGCAATCTGTTGCATCTGGGCTCAACTGTGAGAAAGAAGTGCCAAGTCGTCGGCAAAATCCAAGTCTTCCAACTGATTGGAAAGGGTCCACTGTATGCCACCGCGTTGTCCCGATGTTGTCTGTCTCATTATATCCAATCCACTGCTTATAAAATGAGAAAAGGCGATAACAGGCATCCCTGTCTCACTCCTGTATTCATTTCAAATGAGTTTGTCCGCTTCCCTCCAAGTAAGACTGCAACTCATTCCCTCATACATCTTCTTGATCTATCTCACGAACTTGTCAGGTATTCCGTAGTGGCGCATGAGCTTCCGTATTGAGTCCCTATCTAGGCTGTCAAAAGCTTTCTCGTAGTCAACAAAGTTAACGTACTGGTAAGAGTTCCACTCTGTGGACTACTCCACTATTATCCTCAAAGTTGCATTCTGATCTGTACATGATCTCTTTTTACGAAATCCTGCCTGCTCCTCTCTTAGTTTTGCATCCACGGCTTCCTTCAGTCTTTCCAGTGTGGGACGACTTAAAATCTTCCCAGGAATGGACATGAGCATGATTCCTCTGTAGTTTTTACACTCTCCTTTCTTGGGTAGTTTCACGAGCAATCCCTCTCTCCAATCCTGTGAAAATTCTTTGCGGTCCCATATCTTGCCAATAATTCCATGAAGAATCCCTGCCGCAGTGTCGATATCTGCCTTGAGAGCTTCTGGGGGAATTCCATCTGGGCCGGCTGCTTTGCCTCCTTGATCTCCTCTAAACTAGGCTTTTCTTCACTCTCCCCCAGATCAATCTCTGCTGGTGAAAAGTCAAACTGTTTTTCTGGCCTAGGTCTGTTCAGTAGCTCTTTGAAATGCTCCTTCCAGCGTTCTTTCTTCTTCTTCTTCTTCTCGATCGCATCACACTTGAAGTCCGGTATCTGTCATAAATTGGGCCGTCCTGGTCAGTTCATCTGGCGGCCTGTATAGCTTCTATTGTAGCGTCAGTGGGGTTGGCCATATTTCCTGTCCCAGGGCCCTGTGTGTCTTGCAGTGCTGAAGGATGTGTTCAACAGTTTAGTCCGCCTCTCCACACTGGCATTTTGGTGATTGTACTATTTTAAAACATTTGTACATATGTTGTCTCAGTCTTGTGTGTTGTGTCCTTAGTCTGAAGATAATCAATTGTTCTTGGCGGGACAGCTCATGGTAGCCATTTGGTGTCTGAGGTGCTTTAAATAGTGTATTTATAATAGTTTTTATTTCTGTGTAGTTAACGCTGTTGTCTGGTTGCTCTTTTTGTGCTCCTAGTTTGGCCATCCTGTCTGCCTGCTCATTTCCCAAGACACCACAGTGTGATGGAATCCACTGCAGCATGATCCTCAGACATGGGATGTCCTCAATTTCTTTTCGTAGCCTTGGTAGTTTGCCGGAAATGATTGCCTGCAGTACTGACATGGCATCTGTTAGGAATACTACTTGGCTTTGGGGGTCTACCACATTCTTGATGATGTTTGCTGCATGCACTAGAGCCTCCGTCTCTGCCGTGTAGTTTGTACAATGTCGCCCTGTTGGGACTGCCTCTGCTTGTCGTCGTCCATTTGGGAACTGTACGTACACTCCGGCTCCTCCTCTTTTCACAGCATCAGTGGCAGATCCGTCTGTATAGATCCTTATCCATGCTTCTAGTGGGTATCTTTCTTCATCAAGCATGGACAGGGTGAGGGACTTCTTGCTCAGGTCGCTGTGGTCATCTTTTGTGGTGAACATAGGAATGGACGTGTGTATAGATATGTTTGTGTTTTTCTTTTCCCATGATGGTGCCTCTGGGGTGTGATTCAGCATGTTAACTGTGGCTGGTAGATGGTCCTGTAGGGATCTTTGGATTTTTCTGCTTTCTTTGATGAAGTTGGATCTTTTGAGTCTTGCGGTGTTTGATCTCTCTGTTCTCGTGTGCAGTATATGATCCTCCATAGCTGTGGCCTTGGTGTACTGTATGAGGGCCTTGCGTTCCCATCTCCTCTGCAGGGCCACTATAGATGTTGTTTGTTCCATCTTTTCTATAGGCGTTGACCTCATTGCTCCAGTGATTATTCGGAGAGCCTGGTTTTGCACTTTTTCCAGAGTGTATTTGTGAGTCTGTGCTGCAGTCATCCATGCACTGGATCCGTACTCGAGATGGGGCCTGATTGCGCCCAGATAGACCTGTCTAAGTGTTTTCTCATTTGCTCCCCACTGAGTCCCTGCTAGTTTTCTCATGATGTTAAGTTTCTTCCTGGCTTTATTTTCTGCATTCTGAATGTGTTGTTTCCATGTGAGACGCTTGTCAAAGATTATTCCAAGATACTTCTGTTGATTCTCAAACTTTAGGGGGATTTTGTCTAATGTGAGGTGTTTTGGCTCAGCCTGGCTGAGAGTGAAGAGTGTAGCAGAAGACTTTTCTTTGTTTACGGTTACACACCAGGTTTTTGTCCATGTAGTGAGTTTGTCCAATGCTAGTTGCATGCGATATGTGGCTGTAGTGACGAATTCCTCAGAGCACCAAAGAACCAGGTCATCTGCATACAATGCGGCATGTATTCCTTTGGGCAGTTCATTCATGAGGTCATTGATGAAGAGGATAAAGAGCAAAGGTGACATGACTCCACCTTGGGGTACTCCTTGTCGCAGCAGCATTTTCCGTCCTTGATATCCATCCACCAGCACACGTGCTCTTCTGTTGTGTAGATAGGATTTGGTCCATTGGTACATGTTGCCTTGGATACCACTTCGAAGGAGCTTGACTAGTAGACCCTCCTTCTACACCTTGTCAAACGCTTTTTGTAGATCAACAAAAGTTGCTAGCATCACTTTCTGTGCCTGGAAGGAGTCCTCTATTACTTGGGACAAGTATGTTGTTTGGTCCTCTGTGCTCCTGAACTGACGGAATCCAGCTTGTTCTGGTACTATGATGTGTTGTGCCTCTAGGTACCACTGCATTCTGCAAGCTATGATGCGCTCCATTGTCTTACATACACAACTTGTGAGGCTGATAGGTCTATAGCTTAAGGGTTGTGCCTTACTTTTCCCTGGCTTGAGGATCGGGATCATCGTTGCTTCTTTCCAGCACTGAGGTACTTGCCCTATTTTCCAGCTTAAGTTGAATATATCCAGTAGAGTCTGTAACGCTGTGTTGCCTAGGTGTTGTAACATTTCGTTTGTAATTTCATCGGGGCCTGGTGATTTTCTTTGTTTCAGTTGATTTATTGCTTTTTTCAGCTCTTCCATGGTGATGTCCTTTTCCATTGCTTCCGGGTTGTTATTTGTACTTCTTTTTCTTCTTTCCTCTTGTCTGACTTCTTTTTGTCTCTCTCTTGGTATTTTGATGTTGCTTTCTTGAGCATATGCTTTTACAAAGGTATGGGCAGCCCTTTTCTCCATTTCCATCTCTCCTTCAACTTCTAGAGTGATCTTGGCACTTTTATTTCCTTCGTCATTTAGCCCCTTTACAAGCCTCCATAGTTTTGTGGTGTCCTTTTCCAGGTTAAGTTTGTGCGTTTTGTCTCTCCAGCTTTTCCTGGTGCATCCAATTTGGTTTTGAGATAGTGGGCTTTACACCTCTGTAGCTTGTTATTGTTTTCTATCCCTGGATGTGTTTCGGCTTGTTCTCTGGCCTTGATGAGGTCGTTATGTGTTTTCTGGAGTTCTGGCGTCCAGTATGGGGTGTAATTTTTCCTTACCCCTCTAGGTATGGTTTCTTTTGCTGACTTAAGGATGTTTTCATTGAACTCTGTGATGGCATTGTTTATGTTTTTGTCGAAGACTGCGATGTTCTTTGTCAGCTCATTAGTTCTTATTCTGAATAGTCTCCAGTCTGCCTTTTTGTAGTTCCACCTCGGCCTTTTCGGGCTGTCCTCTGGCAGGCTCTCTACTATGGTAAGAAGAACAGGGCGATGGTCACTTCCCCCGAGCTGGGTTTCCACTGTTCTGCTTAGATGTCTGTGCAGGTTTTCTGTGCAGAGTGCTAGGTCTGGAGTCGTAGTTGAATGCCAAGCTCGAGAATAAAATGTGGGTTGATCTAAAGGATCATTTACAAGCAGAAGATGGTTTTCATCTTGCCAAGCCTCTATTTCTTCTCCTCTTCTGTCTAGTCTGTTGTAACCCCAACTCTGGGACTGGCTGTTGAAATCTCCAGCGATGATAAAGTCTGTGTCTGGGACTTCGATGGTTTCTAGCACAAGGTTTTTATCGTTTGGACAATAATAGTTCACTAGATCCAGATTGCCTCTGCTGGTGGTGATCCTGTTGTGGATATATTCAGCTTCTCCTGTATATTTCTTGATTTCAACGGTATTTAGGTTATTTCTTACCCGGGTCAATACTCCTCCTATTTTTCTACCTTGGCGATCGTTTCTGAAGCACTGATATCCTCTTACCTTAAAGCTTGCCTCCTCCTGCAGATGTGTTTCCTGTATACAGCTGATGTGTATTTCATTATCTTTTAGAAAGTTTTCCAGCTCTGTTTTCTTGTTTGAGATTCCTTCAGCATTCCAGTGCATGATATTAAGACTTTTCTTTACCTGTTTTATTTTGTGTTGCCAGTCGCTTTTCTTCCTCGTCTCCTGGCACTCCAAGACGATGGAAGGCCCTCCAGTCGCTGGGGTGGACCCCTTCGAGGCTTGGGGCCCGGCACTGCACCTGCCTGGTGGGTCCTCACAGGGCGAGCACCATATCTAACGTTACCTTCTTCAAGTGTCATATATTGCAGTATTACGTGGTATTGTGGTTCTCTAGAGTGTGCCTTGCGGCCCAATACCTCCGATTTCAGCACTCCAGCTCCAGGTCCAAGGACCTACCCTGGGAGCACGGGGAGGAATTGTTACCGGATCCCACCCGTAGCCAGGACTTAATGCGGTCCTTTTCCGCATGATGCTCCCGTCAGAGGACTCCTAGGGCATTTAATGACGTGGTAGTGCCACCTACCACCTCACCCCGTCCTGGTAAGAGCATCGCCAGTTGGTCCGGGGCTGCTTATTCAACATATTCACAGCTAACCTCTATAACAGTGGCCATTCCCTATCCGCCACCTGGGACCCGCCGGGTCGGGGATGGTCGCCCCACCCCGGAGCGTTCTTTCTGTTCGTCTGGATTTGTGAGAAGCTTTCTCTCTTTATCCTTCACTGGCACATCTGCGTTCTTGTATCTGCCAGCAAGTTTCTTGGTGGTTTCGTACAGTCCTCTCATGTTTCCTGCCCCTGCTGCTTCCTCTGCCTCCTGCGCTAGCTCATCTACATAGTTTCTTTTGTCTTTCAATACGCTGACTTTTACATCCTTCATTATTTTGGTGTATTCTTCTTGGGCCTTTGCTTTGGCTGCTCTTGTCTTGCTCCTGTTTACCTGATCCTTTTTCTTTTTCCTGTCTTCTATCTTCCTCAGAGTGGTGGCAGATATCCAAGGCTTGTGCTCACGTTTCCGTTTCTCCGGTACCTCTTGACACACAGTGGTCCACCCTTCTTTTATTGCCTCCCATGTTTCTTCCGCGCTGCTATCCTCGCCTAGTGTTTCCAACATTTGGAACCTGTTCTTAACTGCTAAAACTACAAAGCAACAACGAGAATAGGACTAAAAAAAAAAAAAAAAAAAAGAACTTCCTTGACCGGGATTCATACCCTTGCTCCTAAAATAATGGTTTGGCTTCAAACGCAGACGCGCTGCCCCTTCGGCCATCAGAACTTCCAACAACGAAAGGTAGATTTAGCTTCATATAACACACGGTGTTTTATTTAGCTCTGGTGCTAATCGCTACGCGGCGTTGCAAAATAGGCCCTTCCAAAAACAAAAGACAATGAATGCAACGATCTTTCACTTTAGTTTACATTCAGTTTCACCTTGTTTCTGTTTGAATTTGAAGTTTCCCTTTTTTGTTATTGTTGTTGAAAAATGACAATTTACATTAATAAATGGCACTCTTCGGGAGAAGTGGTCCCGGCCTAGATCTAAATCTAACTCCATAGAAATTTATAGGCCTACACAAAATTGGGCACTCCTGTACTCCTGTATAATTGGGGTCCCGTTAGCACTAAATCACACTAGCACAGAGTACTGGATATCGATACTGATTTAAATAGTCAGTATCAATGTTGTATCAGTAGATCTAACCTACAAAATGAGCAGTAAAATTTCACTGGTATTTAACAAGGTAAGGGGAGTTTCAGGGATGACCTAACAAAAGGTAGTGTCAATTGCCACCGAGTCGAGTGATGCGGTGACAATTGATGCCAGCGTCAATTGCCACCGAGTAAGTTGGAGCTCTTTTGCGTTGGTGAGGAAATCTAGCCTATGTGAGCTCGCTGTTCTGCGTTCGTGGACTTTCGGTTACGCTCACCTCTGTCCCTGTGTGTGTGTCTCCCTAACTCATTGACATGGCTTCACTCTGTGGCAATTGACACTAGCGTCAATTGCTACCGCTTTACTCTGTGGCAATTGACGCTACCTTAACAAAAACATGGGGGGGTTTCAGGACATGCGACTAAACGTAGAACGACACAAACTATTTTAAGGTAAGGCGGCCATCTTGTGTGACGTCAGACCGGGATGCCCCTCCAATCACGTGACTGCATGATCCAAACATAGCAAACCGCATCAAACCGAAGATCATGTACCTTCCATGGCACGACGTTTTTGTGCGATATTTTTCCAGGAGACGTACCGGTAATGTGATATGATGCGGTGCTCCGATGATGCTGCTGCTTGTCTCTTCTGCACATTGTTAATCGGGCTTGAGTGGGGTAATCTCTGGGTGTCTTTACGGCGATTTTAGTGCGCTTTATTGTCTTTGCGTTTACAGTGCTTCAATTTGAAGCATCAGCGTTCTTACTGTTCTGAGCATCAACGATCTAAGCGATCTTCCATCCCCAGAGCATGGCTAGCGCGCTGCTGTTAGCCCCAAGTGTGAAATTTTATTGTGCGAAACACATCGATACGAATAATAGGTCAAGCAACTGACCCAACATGTCATTCCATGCGGTATCTCCAAAGATCGTGTAGTGTGTAGTGTAGTAGAGAATCTTTGATATCTCCGCAGTCTTCTAAGAATAGTCTGTGGGTATCCCAGGATGTGATGACATCACATTACTAAAATAAGCAGCCAATCAGGCAGGTGCGTCGTTCTACGTTTAGCCGCATGTGGTTTCAGGGGGATTTGAGGGCTTCCCCCCTGACAAAAATAATAATAAAAAAATAAAACTCACTATCTTCAGGTTTACACATGGCTATTTATCAGTTTTAAAATGGCTGCCAATGGAACGGGGGAGGCAATTTCCAAAGAGCGCCCAAAATTGGAAACGAAAAGGGAAGTCAAGTAAAAAAGCTGGCTGAGTTGCCAGGGTGAAAAGACGCCGGTAAATTTATATTTTTTAAAAAAAGGTCCCCAAACCCATTTTAGACATATTTTGCTAAAGTTTCAAGTTACATAATTTCCTAAATCAGGAGGCAAAAATACATGGAAATGACATCATGGAATCGGACTTGTAACGGTATTTGGACCTTTTATATTTAATAATGGCCTCCTGTCCTATCTATATTCTCACCCCTGGTGAGAATAGCACATGACCCGCTATTCTCATCCCCCCATGGACATCGACAGTGATGTAGATCTATATTTTTTTAATGAAATCGTTCGGCCTGCTTCAAGCGTTCCATCCCATGAGATGAAGGAGTGTTCTTACAGAATTAAAGTTGGGATATGGGATATGGAAAATTACGACTTTTGAAACAGATATTTATATGATCATCTTAACCAGATCTTTGCTAAATTAAATCTTTAATGAACAACAAATAGAATAATCATCATTATCCAGTGCCAGATCTGCGACAGACATCGGCGATCATGGTTCTCCATTCATTCCTTTGCTCAGATGCTCTCAAAAAAGCTACGTTTCCCTGATCTTTCCCTGTTACCCATTTGTTTTGGTTCCTTAAGTAGGTTCTTCTGGGCATACCCCCTGCCTCGTTTGCTCTCAATTTTGCCAATGAGAGCTAGATGTTCAAGACCCTTATAATGTTCAGGTGTCCCAGTAACTGATTTTGTCCTTTCTTGATTGTTTTTAACATTGAGCGTCCCGTGTGGGCTCCATCAAGCTCTACCCCATTTGATTTCTTTTCTTCCCACGATACTCTTAGCAGTCTCCTAAGAAACCACATTTCTGTTGTTTCTACTATATTTTCACTGTCTTTAGTGATTTCCAGCATTCACAGCCATTTAGATGGGTTGACCATTCCTAGCACTTCAGAACTTTCATTTTGGTGGTCATTGAGATGTTTCTATTTTTCAGGATTGGGCTCATTTTATTGAAACTAGCCTTAGCCATTGTAATTGTACGTTTTATATCTGTGGAACATTTGGCATCAGATGTTATCATAATATCCTAGATATTTAAACTGTTGGACTTGTTTGATCTTTTCACCTTTGCTAATGAGATTACAACTAGGATTTGCTGCTTTTTTTTGGGATATTACCATGCATTCTGTTTTCTTTACATTTAACACTAATCCTTTTCGTTCACTTTCTGTAACAGCAGTATGTAGAAGTTATTGAAGGTCCTTTTCTGAGCCTGCTACTAAAACTGTGTCATCTGCATACCTGATGTTATTATTATTTTCTCCCTTTACTTTGAGACCTGGACATTCTTCTATGTTTCTAAGGATTGTTTCATTGTAATAGAATAATAATAATGTAAAAACATTGTTTTCGCCTCTCCAGTAAAAAATATGTCTCACTACCGACACTACTGTGCGGGATGTGGGACCGGCCTCATTCGTTGTTTACACACTTAACGATGGCAGGCCTCTCTGCCTGCACACAATATCTCTGCCTGCACACAATAAATTATTATTTATTGTTCAAGGAACAGAGAACGTGTACGAACGTAACGAAATACGAGCACGAGAATAGTGTAAATTATTCAGACCAAATGGGCGAGGGCTTTAAGTCGTGTTAACTAGTTTAATAATTAAGTAATCCAAGCTCTTTTCTTCACTTTCCTTTTTTTCTTTTATTCTTTCTTTTTCTTTTTTACTTGCCTCTTCTTTCCCTTCCTCTTGAACATTTGGAGTTATGAGTCAAAAAAGAGCTAGAGAGCCAAATGAAACCCTCCGGGCCAGATGCAATCCAAAAAAGAGCCAATTTCTGGGATTTGGCTCCAAACTGACAACACTGACTAACTATTCGGACACATACACGATCCTGGGGAGCATCAGTCCTGATACCCCCCTGAGGGGCATTTCCGGTAACCTGTCAGCCCTGATCCGTCTTGGGTCTTTTATGGTAAAATGAGGGGGTAAGAAAAGCGAGACATTTGTTTTTCTCACCTTGGGTGAGAATAACCCTTTCCTTTAATAATACCAGGCCACCCAATGAGGAAAAAAAATAATGAGTAGAAAGTATTAAAAAATCAAATTACCCCCCCCCCAAATTAATAAATACTCAGTCACTCAGTCAGCTTTTTTGACTAGACTTCCATTTCCGATTTTGTGTATAAAGTTCTATGGAGTTATGGAGTTAAGCTGGGACCACTTCTCAGGAAGAGTGCCAAATTTATAGTAAATGTACTAGCTTTTATTTTATTGGGAAGACCCGGGTCGGTGATCCCAGAAAATATCGATAAAATTTTTCAAACTATTCAACTTTTGTGTTTTTTTGCTGAAAAACATCTTTTGACATTTGTTCTATCAGGTCACAATAAAGAAACTGTGGAAAAAACACACTAAATGACTTAAAAGGGCGTTTGAAAAGTGCAAATTGCACTAAAAATCCTTTTTAAAATCCCTGTTTTCTCTGTTTTTCTCAAAATCTACTTTTTGACATATGTGACCTCCTTGGTGCAAGGCGTTTTCAAAAACTACGGAAGCCAGAAGCTTCAAATTTGGCGTACAGGTGCTTTAAGATCCATTCAGGGGATCTATGTGAGGGAATTGGAAAATATAGGTAACTTGTGGAAATATTCAAATTTTTTGTAATATGTATCCCAAAATTTCGTCAACTGACTCTCGGGGGTCCATTGACTTTGGGCTCACTTTTTTAGTTTTAAAGATAGGTCAAAATCCTCATATGGATCCCCAGTCCATATAGGTTTGTACTTGTGTACCAAATTTCAGGCTGATAAATCAATATTTACTATGAAATTCTTCTGCACTAAGAGACTGGTTTGAAAATCCAGGATGGCCACCACAGAGACCCATTTTTCTGAAAAAATCAACAAATTCACCCTTACTACATCCTACATCCTATTTACCTATGAACTTCTTGCACAATTACATGAAAGTGAATAAAAGTCATTCGTTTAGAAAATTTTTCCGGGAGTGTACGTCTCCCTTTAAGTACAAAGAGAGAGTAATATTGAACTTTGGTGGAACCAACACTGAATGAAGCCCGAACTACTTTTGAGCCTCGCTTTGCAATGCCCTACAATATAATGTTATTGTTTTGCCAAACACGCATGATGGCCCCAAAAACCGTTCCAAGTCAATGGTTTTCAAGAAAACCCCAAACCTTGCCCTATTAAGGAAGAGGCCAATCATACCTAATGATGACTAGACTGCTAGACTAGACGTACTTAATGACGGTCAGACGGCGGCTAGGCCGGTCGTACTTAAGGGCGGCTAGACTGGCAGGGTAGTCGAACGTAATAATGATGGCTAGACTCACAAAAATGTTTTAGATACTGAATTGTAAATAAAATTTTAATTTGCAATACCTAAAGTTTGTATTGAGACGAAACCAAACGCTGCATTACTGACATGCATTTATTTTACCTGAATAATTACTAATGTGTACTCAACATTTTTCACATGAAGCTACAGAGAGCACCTAGCACACTTCTGTAATTGGCCCAAATATAGATGACGTATTTCCGCCAACTATTTTTGTCGTATTCCGGGGTTTCTCTCACGAGTTGACTCGATCTATCACCATCACCTTTTATTATTATTCTTTCATCATCCTAATAATGATCTTTATTGCCATTTTGTATAACAAATAAATTGGTATTATATACATTTTGGTATTGCTCAGCCATTCCAGACACTCTCAATACATAATAATTTATATTCTTAAGCACACACGTATAGACGGACATACATCCACATAAAAACACATACACATGAGCAAAGGAACGGGATGATTTCACACATGCACGCATGGGCACGCTAGTAGATACACACATGCGTAAACAGACACTCTTACACACACACACACACACACACACACACACACACACACACACACACACACATACTATGAGACACACACACTGCAAAGATAGGTATATTTGATATATTTAGATAAATACCCTTTCCAGTTGATATTCATACTTATAATTACACTTGTCACCTTCATTTTGATCCAAGTTATTTATTTTTTTTATGCAGTCTTCAATCAAATTATCATATTCCTTAGTTTTCTAGTCTCAACTCGCGAGGGAAACCTTGGAAGACGACAAAAATAGATGGTGGAAATATGTCATCTATATTTGGGCCGATCGCAGAGATGTGCTAGGTGCTCTCTGTAGCATCATGTACTTTTTTCTTTATAAACACCAAGTCAATTCAATATGTCAAAGAATGAAAAAGCAAATTTTATTGCTCTTGTTTGATTCACATTTCGTGAATTTTGTTGATGTCTCACTAAAGATGCCTTAAATTCGTTTTACTGATTATTGATGAGTGGCCATTATTGAGGGACAATTAACACCTTAATTGGTGTATTCCATAATCCATCTATGATGATGTCTCTCACTTCTTAGTTGAAGAAGAATGTTGAAAGTTTATATTAAATTTCATTCAAACTGATAAAGAAACAAATGAACTATGGTCATCTGAAAAAGCAGGTGTCACTTATGACACATGTCATCATCAATTTCGTAGGTGTTTAAAATATCTTCAGGATAAGATATGATTCCAAGAGAAACAAAGGGTTTACAGTTTTGTCGTCATTTGTCATCATTTTAGTGACACCAGAACCCCATACAGAGAATCGACTGAGGCCAAAACAGGTTTCGATCAATAGGGCCTAACCTAAGTACAAACTGGCAGGCTAGCCGGCTAGCCACTTTGTTTATATTACTATGAAAAATATCTAATTGTATGGGAAAATACAGAACTAAATCCTCCCATATAAATTTCACTCAGGGGATATGCTCCCCACCTCCCTCAATATTTAAAAACCTTTAGAAATGTTTGAATTTTTACTAATTTTCAAGTAGGCCTAACGTAAGAGTAACTTGAGTTACATAGTAGTTCAAAGAAATGTGCAGTCTTACATTAATTTTGGATTTGATGGTGTGTAGACAATTTGTCTTATCAGCTAAATTTTTAGCCTTTGCTCAGGCTGTAAAAAAACACTTTCTTTTTTTTTCTCCAGTGTATAAGACACCTTACTGTTTTCAAGCCATTTGGTGTCTATGGTGGGTAGAAGGTGCAATTTCCATTAAGTCAGTATTACGGAGGTATCAGTCAGAAAATTCTTTTATGTTACTTAAACATCAAAAAGAGTTGCTTGAGAACTGAAAGTATTGTTTTAAGACTGCACCATGTGTCGCATGCAAGGCCCACTAAGTCTAAGAAAGTTGTACAATGTAGGTAAGCTAGGTAAAAAGCAGGTTCAAGCTTGCTATCATGATTAAAAGCAATTCAGAACTCAAAAAACAAATTACCAAATAATTTTTTTATAATGTTGGATATGTGCCTTTATTTTATATTCATGGAAATGTAGGCTACTTGGTGCTCAGCTCTGACCTCCCTCTCAAATAGTCCATCTCTATTTTGGGGTAATGGAACCCCAAGAACTGGAATCTTGGGAAGAGACTATTAACTTTTAAAAAACTGTGTGTTACAGACACAAGTTGATATTTTTCATCTATGAAGGGTTTCAGATCTTATTGACATGCAAATTGACAAAGCCAATGCTTTTTCTTTTTTCAGTTTTGTCTTCAGCTGACTGCCATTTGGGACCATGGAACAAAGTTGATGATTCTGCACAATGTTTCTGGGGAAATTACTAGTTTAATTTTTTTTATTAACTGTAGGTTTATAGGCATTCTTTCTTTTAGTTGATAGCTTCACACAAGTTTAGAATGCTCAAGAGAACTTTTGTGCTGGGCCTTGTGCTCTTGGCTAGCACCCCAGGAATTGCTTTTTCTGCTGGAATATCTGCTGGTTTTGCTGCCTTGGGCTCTTTGGCCTATACCAGCTTCGATGCACTGAGATGCAAAATATTTGTGTGCTGCAATGATGTTTGGATTCCTAGCAACATAGAAGGTTTGTTGTCAAAAATGATATTTTTGTTTAATTTCATTGTTTCTCTCTTTGAGATATAAAATTCATTGTCTTGGAATTGTTCTAGGAAAAATGTGTAAACAATCAATTTGCAAAAACATTTTTTAATTCAATGCTGTATGTGGTGCCCTTTGGTCTGTTTGCATTCTAAATTTATGCAATAGATGAAGTGTTAAAAGTATTGATGGATCAAAGATAGATTGTAGATCTGTGAGCCTTTTAAAAAGGTACCAATTTCAAAGTAACTTGTTCCATCTTAAAACTGATTTTGTGTGTAGAATTTTGGAAATGTAATTAATCCGTGCAAAACTTTGTTGAAGTTTTATACAGGCATCTGGAGAATTTGCTGCTTGATATTACATATCTACCTGATAATTAATATAAAAGGTAATTTTTGCTGCTTGTCTACATTCTGTTGTAATTTGTGAGCTAATCAATTAGAGTTTCGGTTGCCATTGTCAAAATGCTTTTAAAGCTGAATCAAAATCGGAATAGGGCTATACTTTTTTGTCTCATAAAATTTTGATGTTTTTGATATTTGTAATGAAGAAACGAAAGTTTACTTATATTTTTAGGGATATTTTTTGCTGAGGCGAGGTATCACTTTAAAACAAACTACCGTCCCCTATTTGGAAATGAGTGGACCCTCTACGCAGATGTGGGGTCTCCATTCGCAGTGGGGCCTCATTTGAGTCTTGCAATGTCTTTCGAAAAAGGCAATTTAAAACTATTTTGAGAATGAGGTTCTGAAATTTTTCACTCAATATTTCTCGAATCGGTATATATATATTTGTTAACTTTAGCATGTGTTTTTACCCCTTTTGAGCCCCACCGGCTTTCCCGCTGTATAGACATACCGGCTTTTACCTGCCTGACTCACCCGCCTTTAGTGCAAGCTTAGAAATAAAAAAATTCCACTCTAAATTCAGATGCTGACGTCCTTGGTCTTTGTATGGAAAATTTCACTGAAATACGTGGTTAAGAACTTAGATCAAAAGCCAGTATTACTTTTTAATAACAGTAAATGAGAAAATTCTCTGTTATATGGGACTGCTTGATTCTTTCTCAGGCCTGTCTCGTGAGCTGGCTGAAAAGTTACATGGTCAACACCTGGTTCAAAGAACTGTGATTGGTCACGTCAAAGGACACATGCGGACTAGCAACCCACCCAAGGCTCTTGTCCTGTCTTTCCATGGTCTCACTGGAGTGGGAAAGAATTTTGTGAGTCGCATCATCGCAGAGAACATTTACAAAGGTGGTCTGCGCAGCCCTTTCGTGCATCTCATCTCGGCTACAAAAGAATTTCCACATGAAGGAATGGTTGAATTTTACAAGGTACTTTGATTTTGACTTTTCTTGTTGTTTTTGTTAGTAGCAATGTAGGATGTCGTAAGTTTTTTTGTGGGTTTTTTTTTTTTGTCAGTTACTTTTGGGATATTCTAGTCTAGAGGGTCAAGGTATCAGATGAATATTACAAGGATCACAGGCTATATTTCTGGCTGTGACAGTTAAGGTGTTGATTCATTAGAAAAGGTACTTCACTCTACCTGATCTAACTGCAGGTTGGTACAGAAAGGTGAACAGGATGTATTGAGTCAACTGTTTCCCCTGGCCCAGTCACATATATTTTTCTCACAGGGCACTGGCCTCCTCTACCCCAGTCAGGTATTTTTACTGAAATCTGTCCAATTGTCTCCCCAAAAAAAATTCTTCATGTTGTCTTCAAAGACAAGTTCGTAAAGAATTTTTTTTAATGTCTGCAACATGTTAGTCACAGTCAGTATTGGTTAGGCCAGAAGAGTCAAGGACTCCAGCGTTACCTGGGCCAGAGGGAAGTGAGGGCTAAAAATAGCCTGGCACTGTAACTGTAAGGCTTACTGAGCTCCTTGTGTGGAGTTTTGGAATTTGGCCTATATGGGGAAAACTTCTTCCTGAAGTTTTAGCTGGTCTCTAATAGAGGTGTGCCCATTCGACTTTACTATTCGACATTCATGATATTTGCACTATTCACAGCTATTCGAAGCCTGGCAGAGCCATTCGAATGGCGTGTGATTAAAAAGAATAACAGATATGGATTTCCGTCTCATTTTTTATCGAACTCAAACGTAGAAAAATTGGAGCACATTATATCTAAAATCATTAAGATAAATATACAAAAATACTCTTTATTTGATGGTTACGAGACAGAGTGATAATAGTTATAAAACAGTCCTTTAGAGCTCTTACTATTCAATATTCACTCTTCACTCTATGGACAGCTCAAGCAAGGGCACATGACTCTTGAATCGCAGCGAATGTTTTTTTCATGAAGTTAGCCGTCACAATGAGCTCCCCTAACCCTACTCGAAATTCGAAGCGCTATGAACGGTGACGTGATGTCAACATGTTGCACTGTCTGCGACAACAACACACGCGCACTCAGTGACTGGCGTTGAACAGCGCAAGTCAGATCTGGGTTATCACAATATAAGAAAAAACCATTCGACAGCGCTTCGAATTGCGGATTTAGATCTGGGCCCATCTTATATAAGAAAAAACTATTTTTACGGCGCTGTGAAAACTGGAAGTTAGATCTGGGCTTATCACATGTAAGAAAATACGATGCGACAGCGCTTCGAATTGCGAAAGTTAGATCTGGGCATATCTTATATAAGAAAAAACCGTTCGACGGTGCAGCTAATTGCGGAAGTTAGATCTGGGTAATCACAATATAAGAAAAAACTATTCGACAGCGCTTCGAATTGCGGATTTAGATCTGGGCCTATCTTATATAAGAAAAAACTATTTTTACGGCGCTGTGAAAACTGGAAGTTAGATCTGGGCTTATCACATGTAAGAAAATACGATGCGACAGGGCTTCGAATTGCGAAAGTTAGATCTGGGCTTATCTTATATAAGAAAAAACCGTTCGACGGTGCAGCTAATTGCAGAAGTTAGATCTGGGCTTATCACATATAAGAAAAAAAACATTCGACAAGGCTGTGTTTAGCTAGCGAATGTAGAGTAGCGGCACTTAAGTCTGGGTTTATGCTTATCATAATATGTAAGAAAGAAACATTCGACGGGGGTATTCGAATGTCATGAATAGTGAGCTCACGTTTCGAAGCTTGGGTGATTTTTTGTTTATTCAAAATCGCACAGCACTAGTCTCTAATGCTGGCCCTTGTAAAAGTACCTCCTATCTAGTAGAGTTGGGGGGAGCTGACAGACGGGTTCTTTACTCGCCGACTCAGTCTGAGCGAGCGGGTAACAGACGGCCATGCGAGCGTACAGTGGGCCTCAAGACAGTTCGTTTTTTGGGTCCGCTCCCCAATTTTGTTCGCTTAGCGGGCTGGGGAACGGACCAACTCTAGCAGACAAGATACTCCGCGAGGTTAGGCCCTTTGTCTATTTTTTGTGAATTAGGCCAAGTGTTTCAAACCACTAGCGGTGCCACAGGGAGTGAGAGAGGCTGGTGATGTTGTACTATGTGTGTAACCTTTCACCTAGTGTGTGGTTCACACTGAGTGCGTTCCAATTTATCGCGAAGGTGAAGTTTAAAGAATTCGCAAACGCCTTTTTGAGGGGGGGGTAGAGAAATTTCCGCCCTAAACGCGTAGCTACTATGTGAGGCAGGAGGGTGATTTAAACATTTTTTTGTTAGTTTTGAGGGGGGGAGGTGGATGACGGGGTATAGGGGTTCTAAGTAGTATGCAATGGAAGGAGTCGCTCCCCGTCCATCAGCCCGCACGCTCGCTCACTAAACAAACTGTTGTCTCTGCGTCCAATGTGTAGCAAGTAGCGAACGAATCTTCACAAGCAGATGGCTTGTTTCCCATCCGCTCGTTTGCGAGTAGTGCCAGTGAATCATTCGTTACTCGCAGACGCTAATTTAACGAGCGCGACCCAACTCTACTATCTAGAACCATTTAGACCATTCATAATTAAGATAATAGGTTACCTTTATATATAGCGCTCTATCCCATACACGTATAAACTTTGAATGCTTTACATCAATGGCATGAGTAGTGAAAGTAAACCACGCTCACACTCACACACAAAATCCAAAAAGCATTTAATAATATACAGTCGAACCTGCCTTAATGGTCTTAATGGAATCTCCCCGCTCCCCCCTTGATATATTCCTCTGTAATAACCTGTATAAAAGGGAGACCTGTTCGTTGCGGAAATGGAAAGGAAAATCTGCTCCCTTTCGAGGGTTTTAACTGTCTAAGACGAAAAATGCTTCGCTCGCTCAGCCCTTATTTGAAACAAAACTCGCAAGTTTGGTTCCTGCCGGCTCTAAACTTAACGCCATGCCGCTGTGTGAGGAAGGGGGGCAGGGGTGCAATTTGGGGGTAGATGTATCCATCTATGTGAGCATTGAGCGATGCAGATGGTCAGAAAGGTGTGGGTATGAAATCTCACGTGTGCCAGTGAAAGTGCTCGAGTAGCGAGCCACCACGGAAACTTTCTTGGGTATCCAGAAGCCAGGTGTGTGAAATTAGTTTGACTAATACCTGCTGCCCTGACCGTATGATTGTACGGCCCGCTGAGAAAAGGGTTCTAGTATCGTTGTTACATGGCAGTGAGGGGTGGCATTGGTTTGACTGTGCTTGTTACACCGATGGGTGGGGCTAAGGGTGGAAGCAAAGGAGATTCTCAAACGTTTCTGTTTTTAACAGGTCAAAAAGTGGTCCTATGAAAGGCAGGCAGTGGTGGTAATTGAACTTGATTGGACAAGCAAGACTGACGCATGTCATTATTAGAGAGGATAGCAATTGAGAGGTTTGAAGTTTTGACTACTGATTGTTGATCAGACCAGCGATCCTTGATCCCACCGGCTGGGGCTTTGACCCCTAAATTCCCCTAGTGGTAATTGGATAAGTAAGACTGACGCATGTCATTGTCGGAGAGGATAGCAGTTGGGAAGTGGGAAGTTTTGACCACTGCTTGCCGACTGGACAAGCGGTCCTTGATCCCTCAAGCTGGGCCTTTGAAGCCCCGCTCCATCTCCCCCCTAAATTCCCCTGAGACGGAAAATATCTATGACTGTGTTTTTTTCGGGCTCCCTTGCGATTCTGTCTTACACAGGTTTGACTGTATACCTGAAAACTAGTTCAACCACATAAGGAAGAACTCTTTTAGCCGTACTTTAATTATGTGTATATGTGCATTATAAAAGGACATTGAAAATATGTGCACACCTTCTTTCAGGCTCAGCTCAAGTCTTGGATTGAAGGCAACATGACAAGATGTGGTCGGTCCATGTTCATATTTGATGAAGTGGACAAGCTGCCCCCTCTCTTACTGGATGTGATCAAGCCGTACATGGATTACTATGATGAACTTGGTGGCGTCAACTACCGCAGAGGCATATTTTTGTTTTTGAGGTAATGAAAAATGAAGCCTACAAATACGGAAGATAGATCGTATGGCTTTTGTCAAAAATCATATGTTGAGTGAGAGATAAATTGTCCAAAAAATTTTAGAGTTCTCTGTCCCTTCTGTTAGTTTGATTAAAAAGATTTTTGATTTTCGATGTTGATGTAATTTCACATGTCTCGGAAATCTCTTGACGTTCTACTCTAGTAATAATGCTTCTGATCTCAAACAAATGCAATAAATTTAGTCTTTAGTTGCAGGTGGTTGAAATCCATCACTGATCCTCCTCCTTTTCTTCCCCCCTATTGTCCCTGTATGGCTGTTTCCCACTTCCCCTGCTATAAATGACAGTCTTTGTGTTAACTTGCTGCTCTACTCAAATCTGAAGATATTTGTGGGGAACTAGTGTGAGTGTTCTGATGTCTCTTTACTACAACTTTAACTAAAATGTACTGTCCAACCTGTTCTAAGGGCTGGGACAAATGACCATTTCCCACTTCACAGCACTGTGGAGAGGGGGGTATGTGCGGAGATGGCCGGTCATTGCCCGGAAATGTCTGTTGCGATGGGCGCAGGGGATGTGTGGGGCTGGATCAGGCTGGGAGATGAAGTTCTTTCTGTCTTTTCTCAGCTGACTTCTCTGTTCTTTATGCCTGATGCTTTTCTCTTCAAAGTCAGCAACTCTAGATCTTCTTAAAGAGTGCTCAACAGGGTGGTCTTGAGCAGTTTCTTCCCAGGTGATATTGATAAATGTCAACATTGTTACAGGGATACCTTCAGTGATTGAAGAAATACAAAACTCTTTACCACAGCTTCAACGACTTGATTCATAAATACATACTCTTCTAAATGTCAACAGTAACTCTGGAGGTTCAGCTATCGCTCAAACCGTGCTGGATCACTGGCAGTCTGGGAAGAAAAGAGTGAGCCTGGAGTTATCAGAAGTTGAGGGAAAGGTTACACGTGCAGCCGTTAACTCTGACAGTCATCGTAAGTTTACACAGCCAATCCGTATGTGCACATTTTTAAACATTCGGATGGATAAGATTACGGTTTAATTTATTGATCCTTTATATTAAGAAATTGACAGTGTACTGTCACACACTACTGCAATGGATCTCATGGATGGCTGGTGCCTCTATAAATAAATCATTGATGGTCTGGTCTGGTCTGACTACTGCAATGGAAAATACACACACACACACGCATGCAGCTGCACACGCATAAGCGCACTCACGCACGCACACACACACACATACACATGCGTGCACACACACACACACACGTACATTCGAACCTGCTGTAAAAGCCACCTGTATAAGACAATCACCTTTTATGTCTTTTTTGCATTATAAAATGAAACTCTGAGATATCCATCTGTCCAAGACCACCACTTTTCTTCTTGACAACGGACGGTCATCTTAGACAGTATCAACACTATGTAATATCATATCTGCACGTCACATTCTCTCCCTCTCATTCTCTGTCTGTCTGTCTGTTTCTCTGTCTCTCTCACTCTCTCTCTCTCTCTCTCTCTCTCTCAGGGTGTCCAGCAAAGTCGCCAAGTCGTAAAAAAGTCGTAAATTCGGCACCCTAGTCGTAAAGGCCGTAAACGGTAGTAAATTTGTCTTGAAGGTAGTAAACATTTGGTAAACGGTCGTAAATTAGCCTGCTTACTGAGTGATGAAGCCAGCAAGACTTTTCAGTGAACCCTAGCCGCGGTTCATGACTCCGTTTTTGACGGTCGCGATTGTGATATAATATTCGTTCACCTTTTCCCCATCCGAGAGTACGTTTCAAGCGAAAAGGCGGCTATGGCGGTAGGTGGAAGTGTATGTGACACCGAGGCTTGATCGGGAAAATCAAGATCTACTTTCGCTTTCGTTACGACCCAGAAATTTGCCGACGGTAAACTGATAACGCAACATTTGTGATATGCAGGTTGTACAGTATAAACGCTGTGTCGCCGTGCAAATAAAATTTAATCATTACTTGCACTCTTCACCGTGCTGTCACTTGTGTGTGTGTGAAAAGAAAATGCAAGCGTCATCCGATTTTTAGATCGTCGGGCTCGCCGTCGTGACCGGTCAGTGAACCTTCGCGCGAGGCACCACAAGATACAGCATCAGTGAGCACCGGAGTTTGTTGGGGTCGCCAAAGTTCATTAAAAAGTCTGAGCGTTGCGAAGCATAGGACTACGGAATAGGGCAGGGATTATTGATTTTTTTTTTAACTCTCGAGGGAGGGAGGAGGGGCTGAAGGTAGCACCAGAGGACGAAAACTTGTTAGGAAATTTCAGAGTTTTGATTAGATTTAGAGCCCTCTGCAAAGCGCGCGTTGGTGCAGGCCTTGTTTGAATCGGGGTCCTTCATGATACCTTGTAAGCTGTGTTATTGAAATAAAGTGTTCGCGTTTCATTTGTTGGGTGATAGTAAATTAGAACAATATTGTAGCTTTTTGTTCAAGACTGGCAGATTTTCAGTGTCACTGCCTCTTGCCCCCCCACAGTTCTTACACCCCCCACCCTGAATAGGTCTACTTGAGCCATTCAAGTTATTGCTCTACTTTTAGTTTGAGCAATAATTTTTTTCTTTCATGTTCATAATATGAGTCGTGACACCCAGACTGGTTCTTGACAGTAGAGATTCTTGTTCAAGGCCCTCCAAATGCTCAAAGCAGGATTCATAAAAAATATAAAAAATACAATGTATATAATAATTAGAGGAAAATATTAGGCCCCTATAAGAAACTGAAGTACTTAAGTCAAACAAGACCCCAGTGCAACACTGACATGTTGTTGAATGACGTGTGTGTTGTTGTGTAACATGGCTCTGGAAAATGGATGACCCCCCTGGAAAATTGAGAAGCCGGTATGGCAGTCACCCTGTGTGTATACATTAGGTCTAGATCTAAAGCTACCCCCTCCCCCCCACCACCACCACCAGGGCAGTGCTACTGACTGAAACATCTTTAGGCCTTTCCCAAAGGGATATTAACATGTTCTTATGCATAGCAGAATTGTAAATATGGGCTGATTTATCAATGTCATGCTCATATTGTGCTGGACCAACATAGGGGGCACTGTTGCTTGTTCTGTCCTCTTCTTTACTGTCGTCATTTTCCTCTACTTCTTTTGTATGTTTGTCACTCTTGTGAACTACTATTTCCAGGGTGCCTTGTTAGTCAAAGCTTGATTCCCCGTTTGGACTTCTCTGTTGACACCCACCCCTTGTCGCTCATATGACCTATGCAGTTGCGAGCGCTGTAAAACCCTTACTAAAACTCTAAATCTAGCGGCGAGCAAGCTTGCGATCGTCTGTGTCCATTGTGTCGACTGGACTTTGTTGTGTGTTGTTTTCGTTCTATATATTATATAATAATATGTGTTATTGATGGCGCAAATGAACTCCCTTTTTCGAGCTGGTGTGGGGCTTGATTTGCTGGGTAGTAATTTTTTTTCCCTGGTAGTAAATTTTTTCAGGAAATATTGCTGGACACCCTGCAGTCTCTCTCTCTCTCTCTCTCTCTCTCTCTCTCTCTCTCTCTCCCTCTCCCTCTCCCTCTCCCTCTTCCTCTCCCTCTCCCTCTCCCTCTCTCTCTCATAATGTTTTTACTGTATGTTTGCATTACTTCTGTAGCTCATATTTTGTTCAGGGCAGAACCTACCTGTGACCGAACATGTTCTTTGAAATCTCTGCAATTTTTTGTAGTCTGTGGATACTGTAATTACAATCATTTACAATCGCACACTTCTTTGTTCTCTTTTCAGAGGGCCTGTGGCACAGCCAACTTATCAGCAATCATCTGATAACCGCCTTCATTCCATTCCTACCCCTTGAAAAGTCGCACGTGAAGAAGTGTATAACTGACGCTCTCATCGACCGAAAATACTTCAAGAAAAGACACACCATTCCCTCGGAGGTCATAGACAGCGTGCTTAAAGAGTTGACCTTCACACCTACCACTGAGCAGATCTTTTCTTCAACTGGTTGCAAAAGGGTCTCTGAAAAGGTCGACTATGTCATGATGGACAGGGAGGTTGTAGGGAAAGAATCCTGGAATATGCCTGGTGGAAGGAAGGATGAGATGTAGCTGTTATGTAAGAGTGTGTTGTGTTCAACTTTTTTGATGATCAGATGTGTTTGTCTTTCTAAGTTACAACAAGCCCACTCATGTGCTCTCACATACACATATGTGTTCTTTCACACATATTCATAAACACACATCAACACACTTCCTCACACACAAACACCTGCACACTATTTACATACACACACACATGCACTCACACACACACACACACACACACATATTTACACAGGTGCTTGCACTGCCTCACTCATGCACAAAAATAAATGTAACACACACTGACAAATGCATACACACACCCTCTCTCAATGTTACACTCCCTTCTTACAATGATCCAGTTCCACGTGACAGATCTGTGGAACTATTTAGTTCCCCCTCCACATTATATTCCTCTTTTTCTCAAGACATTTTTGTGATGAGAAAATACTAGTCTCAGCTTTCTGGGGCTACCAAACTATGTTGATAAAAATGTTGCGTGTTAAAGCAGGAATTTTACTGCCATTTTATGTTGAATTTACACTCCCATGTTTTATTACTCTTTGTATGTTTTTGTTTTTTTCTCATGTTTCTGTGGTGCTCTTGTGTTGTCTCGTGCTCCCTAAGAACTTTGCTTTCTTTTTCTGTTTTCATTTGTGTGCTAGCTTTGTAGGAGAAGGTGAAGGTATAAAACAGATATTTGGTGCTGATCTGTCAAATCAGAGTGTAAGGTTTATGACAATGGTCTTCATCTTATATCTTCTCTCTCTATCTCCATTCCTCCCTCCCTCTTTGTGTTTATCCCTGTCTCTCTTTTTTTTTCTTCTCACTCTCTCTCTCTGGAACATGTGACTAATTATAATGAAGCTAGTGAGTGTGAGAAAATTCAGATGGCTATAAATCAAAATGCGAGAAAAAGTTGCAAAGCTCTACAATCTGCTGCATCATCTTGTGTCTCTTTAGGTGTGGTATTTTTGCTTTCAGTGCTACCTCCTTCTCTTTTGTCTTGAGACTGGTCGTAGCTGCAATCTCTTGCCGTCTGTTCCCTTATTCTAACTGATCAATGTTATTAAAGTCAAGTCTTTAAGGCAGGCATATATATGTATGTGTACTGTATATCAGGTTTTTTTCTCCTTTGGACTTGATGAATACGTTATTTTTGCGCTTTATAAGGAAATTTGCGAATTGCATAAAGGAGTGCTACTGCATTGCAATATATGACAGTGGGTGACTCAACGTTCATGAAAATCGGAATAGGCAAAACACAGAAAAAGAGTGTGGAAAAAAACCCTGATGTACAGTGTCTTACTAGGTGGGAAATAACTTTTTCCCCTCCTTCCTTTCTCTAGTTCTCAACATAAGAGATTTTTTTTAGTATTCTCCCTTCTTTTTTGTAGTTAAAATGTTTTAACTATCTTAGTCTGTGTTGTACGAGGGCTGTCCCACGGAAAACCAGAATTTGGCTGTAATTTGAAAACTATTCAATATTTTGACATTCTGTAAACGCACACTTGTAAAACAATCATTTTGGAATTTCCTGATTGAGAACCATGAGCATTGCACAAACCAAACGAACACAGCAGTTCTCCAAATATGGCTACCCCCTTGGAAAATTGGTCATAGGTAGAAGTGAGGTCTGTCATTCGGTTTCTGACCCCAAAAGGTCTCAAGCCTATAGAAATACACACTGAAATAAAGTCAGTTTACAGGAAGAAAGAAATGGCAAAGTCACAGGTGTATGAGTGGTGTAGTAAGTTCAAAGCCGGGCATAAGGATGTCAATGACAAAGTTCTCCCAGGACCTTGTTTTTCTGCCAAGACTGAGGACAACAAGAGTCGCATTAACGGACTCATTCAAACAGACAGGCGCCTAAAAATTCCCGAAATTTCCGAGTGTCTAAACATTTCAAAGTCGACTGTTCATAGGATAGTGTTTGATGAGTTGCACTTTCGAAAGGTCTCTTCTCGCTGGGTCCTAAAAAGAGCTGACAGCTGACCACAAGACGCAACGTGTTGAAGTGTCTCAGACTTTGTTGAATCGTTGTCGCCAAGCTGTCACGGGAGTCATGAACGCATCTGGAGACGTCCAACAATACGATGAAGCATTCCTGAGAAGCATTATTACAGGTGATTAGACTTTGATACTCCACATGACCCCTGAGACGAAGAAGGATTCAATGGTTTGGAAGCACACGTCTTCACCTCCCCCGAGAAAGTTTAAAGTTCAGCCATCGGTGAAGAAACTCATGGCCACGGTTTTCTGGGATGCTAAGGGTTCTCCGCTGGAACCAGGACAAAAGGTTAATTCTTACAGATACTGCCAGATTCTTGATAATTGAGAGATGTTGTGCGCCGAAAAAGACCAGGCCGGCTGTTAAGCGGGGTCATTTTGCAGCATGACAACGCCGCGCCAAACACCGCAAACGCTACGAAAGACTGGATCCAAAGGTTCAGCTGGGAAGTTCTGCCACACCCCCCTCAAAGTCCTGACTTGGCCCCGTCAAATTATCACCTTTTGGACCAATGAAACGCCATATTTCTGGACAGCGATTCACCGACGGCGAAGACGTCGTGGAAGCTGTGAAAGATTGGTTGAAATCCCTTGACGAAAAATTCTTCAGGGAGGGTATCTTCTCCCTGATCCGGTGATGGGAAAAATGCGTCCGGCGGGATGGTGATTACATTGAAAAATAGAGCACATGTTTAGGTATGATATGTTACATTTTTATCATGATAGGACAAAGCTTGTTGCTTTTATGGACCTTTTCCGGTTTTCCGTGGGACAGCCCTCGTATGAGCAGTGGGGAAGTGACATAGAAACTACTAATCTTTCCGGCACCTAGTTGTTGGTAATCTTATCTCGCTTTGTTCCTCCAAGAATTATTCTTAGGCATATATACTAAGACAGCATAATATTAATAGAACCCATGTGTAATGCCCACTGCAAATCGGTGACAATACTTCAAGCCAGGGTTGTGCATTCTGTTGATATTTCTTTGTTTAGTTTAGTGTGGCAAGTCCATAATGTGATTTATGCAAAGTGAAATGAATCATCAGCCAGTACGTTCACAGATTGACTTTTTTATATCAGACATACACCAAATTCTATTCCTTGCCAAAGTATGTTCTCACCCAATTTGTCACTGATCTTCCTATAGTCATGGATAAAATTCCTCTTTTTTTTCTGAGGAGTTGTATGTCCTGTATTTCCTATCTCCACATTTTCTCAAATAGTTTGTTACTCTTTCTTGAAGTTTTTATTTTTTTCCATCCCCCTGTTATTACTCTTTAGTTTAGTGTTGTGCTTTCTCCATAACAATCCAGCTTCATGCTCATATTTAAAATTGAATACATGTTCCTTCTTACCGAATTTGAAGTCATAGATAGGCTCATAGTTAGCTCGGTTGGTGTCATGCTGGATTATGAGATGTGAATAGTCCGAGTTGGAGTTTTTGACAGGATGTTCTTGAAGTTATTTTGAGAAGTTAATGGCTTTCCACCCACTCAGCTTGGTCCTGTTGGAGATGGATGTTAAGGTGCTTCTCAATCAATTTGACAGTGTTGAAAGGGAAATGAAACTTGAGCAATACCATAGAAATTGATGTCATACGATATGACACTGTTCTTAGGGTTGGAGTTGGAGAACCTGAGAGACATGATCGACTCTCTCTGTTGATAACTTTGTCTGTTTGTGTAGACACAAAAATGAAAAGTGCTGTGGGAAATAAAAATGCTGTGCATGATGTAAACAAGTGAACGGAATGCAGTTTTACTTGCTATGAGGTTGAATTCAATCATGGTTCCAACACATACCTATTTTCCCACATTTGGCAGTCTTGCATCTTGCCATCGAAATGTATTATTATATATCACTTTTGTTGAACCCTCTGAAAGAGCGCCCTATACTTTTTCTGAACTTGTACTTGTTTTGCCCATTGTGTTTGTGTGTGTATGTGTGTATGTGTGTGCATGTGTGTATGTGTGTATCTTTTTATGAGTTTGAATGAGCATATGAGAGTAGGTTTTCTTGTGAATAAGTGAGTGGTTTTGTGTTTTTGAGAGAGTATTATGAGTGTGGATGTGGGTGTTAATGAGAGAGTGTGGATTATGTTTGTACAAATGTCAGAGAGTTTGTTTATTTGAGAAAATGAGTCTGTTTATGAATGGTTATGTGTGGTACATCAGGAATTGGGGAAAAAGTGTGTAATTTATTTAGTTCTCCTTCCATGAGCGTAATATCCTTTGTTGTCTTGTAAAAGGACCTGTCAAATTTGATGTCACATTTTCACAAGATAAGGCCTGTTGTTGTTTCTCATGTGGATGACGTTATGCTTTAATCGGCTTAACTGGCTTTTTGAAAAATTGTCAACAGGCAAAAACACTGTCTGATTCAAAATTTGTAGGAAGACACAAAATTTAGCCCACAATACTTCTTTTATACTATTCATAGTAGGCCTACATGCTGACTTCTGTGGAGGTGAGGGGTGAGGGGGTTGGGGGGTTTGCACTGCAGATGAACAGATGAACCTGGACAGTGGTTTAAGAACGAAATAGCTTCTTTGACCTATTTCTTCTTATTACACAGTTAAAACATTACATCACTGATATGTCAGTGAGCTAGCCATGTGGCTGAGCCAGTGTATGTAGACACGACACACGCTAGGGAAGTGTTTTTCTTTCAGTTGAGCCAGATCCTTTCTTGTTGCTACACGGGTGTATTTGCAACGATGTGCCTGTGATCTTCCTTTTCATTATGTTGTCTTTGGCGTACAACAAAATGCAAATAAAGATTATCTTTGGAGACTTTAGAGTGCACTTTGTTTAAGAGGTGTTTTGATTTTACCCAAGTGATGGCTTGGTCACTGAATGATTTTAGCTATATGTCTACAGAGGGTTTTTATTGGAACCTTGCTTATTGGGTAGCATTATTGTCTGTTTACATTATTGTCTTTTTCTACATGTAGCTTTTTTCTCCTCTCTGCACAAAAGGGAAGAGGAGCTTAGTGTGCTGCCCTTTCTCAAACATTAGAGGAGTGAAACTATGTTTTTTTGTATTCCGTTTGTATAGTATTTCTCCACCCAATGCTTGGAGAAACTGAGGAGTCATCAAGACAGACACAGAATTTTTTTTCTTATTGTTTTGAATAATTTACTAATAAAACTAAGGGTAGCTAATTGAGATTCTTCAACCGACTGTGCAAAGTAACTTTAGCTTGTTCACTTTCGTCTGACCGCGTAAAAAAATTCTAGCTCATTGAGTTGAGAAATTTACCTATGCCCATGAAACTTTGCATGGCTCTTATGCAGGCCAGCGACCAAACAGTTTTTTTTTTTTTTTTAAATCTTGACCCAGTCATAAAAAAGCTTTTTTCTTTGGGGCCTATATTCAAAACCGCTCTTTTGATGCAAACATAGGATCACTAAAATAAATGACTTACAGTAAACTAGCCTTCAAATTGCTTATTTTGCGACAGTGACACCACTCTGCCCCCATTATAAATCATTTCAGTGTAAGCTTGTAGATTTCATCCCCCAGCTGTCTAGAAGTTTCCATGCGCTCCACGTGAGTCTCGAAAACTACTCACCCCATCTCTTGAGTCATGTTTCTTAGGCGAACGTTAAAGTGAAGCATTGAGAAAAATATGTCAACTTTTAAATGTTTTTGGTGTATGCTGTAAATTCCCTATTATTTTTTTACCCCCTTTCGGCTTGCATCAAAGAAAATGTGTCGGAACCTTAGTTTGCAGTGACCTTCATGAATGGGCTTTTAGATTCTGTTGGTCATCCAACTTTTTGGCCCGTATGCAAAGATCCGAGAAGATTGAAAAGAGTGATTTCATTTTATCCTGTTTTAACTGCGGTCAGATGAAAGCAAACAAGCTATACAATTTTATGCTTTAATATAGATTATTGATTACTTTTTCTTTTTCTTTTTTTTTTTTTTACAAGTTTGTAGTCGTTTACTTTTTGGAAGAGATGGTGTGGTGCCTTAAAAATCTCAGCATAATTAGAATAGACTTTGACACTGATGATTATGAATCTATATAATACAGTAATAATAATAATAGATAGCATTTGTATAGCGCATATCCCCGCTCAACAGCAGGCTCTATGCGCTTTACACTATATTATTACCCCAGCAGACCATAGAACACTCCGAAACAATCTCAGCTTCTCGGGAAGCATACAGTGCAAGCAGCCGATTAAGTGCTCAAACACTAACAAACTGACAAGATCTTTCGCTGTCTATAGCCGGGTACCCATTCCCACCTGGGTGAAGTGAGGAAATTCGTGTAAAGTGCCTTTCCCAAGGACACAACGTCGGGCCCTTGACGGGATTCGAACCCACGACCTTACGGTTGCGAGTCCGAGAGCCTAACCACTAGGCCACCGACGCCACAGTACAGTTCCCTGGCTTATTTTGTCAAGGCTGTGATAACTTTCCCACTAACAATAAGGACCAAGTAATACAGAGCAGACTCTCTCTCACATGGAACATATTGTCTGTCTGTCTGTCATTTCTAAAGGCAGAGAAAAAAAAATTCACATCTTTCAAAGAAATGAAACCTATAATATAAACCTCTTATTTTAGCATCTTGATGTTATTTCCAGCCTTCTCCTCTGAGTGCCAGATCTGAAACAGACATCAGCAATCTTGGTTTGCCACTCATTTCTCTATTGGGATGCTCTAAAAAAAAACTATATTCATCCTGGTTTTACCCCGCCCTATCTAATATTAATGTCTGCCTCTTTTAATAACTTAACAGTGCTGAAAGGGGTGTTGAATCCATTCCATATATATTAATGCTGCTGTCAGTCTGGACGAGTTAATGGCCTACGCTACTTATGCTGGTTTCTCATAGATGGAGATGGGTACTGTTTGTTTCATATTTGAGCAAACTTCTGCAAACATGTCGAAGTCAAAGCCAGTACATCATTCTTTGAAATAGCTAGAAATTATATTATTACCCTGGACAACGTTTGTTTGTTTTATTTCTTAAACATTTCAATTTAATTTCCAGATGAAATTGACATGACAATGATAATAAAAGAATATACAACATCAAATATTACTTCAGATTTCATGTAATATTCCTGTTTTTGAGGGGTGGGATGTCAAACAGGAGAAAACCAAACATCAAAATATTCATACACTCATCAGTGGACACATTCATCACCCCAACAAATCATATTATAACAATTGCCGAACAATCAGTCAAAAGGAGACTGTGGTTGCAAGATTGATAAGTGCATGCTGACCTCCATCATTAGAGGTAGTCTAGATGTAGTATGAGTGAAGTTGGGAAACATACTTTAAAGAGCAAAAACATTTTTTGTGAAAGTTCTAAATGCCCCCATTGGTACAATCTGTAGTCGGATACTGATAACTCAAACACCTTGGGGATTGACAAATGTGTGCGACACATCTATAATTCGAGTTAACCGAAAAAGGAAAAATTAAAGCGATATCAGTCGGGGAATGGCAAATTGTACAAGCTATGCATGGTTTCAAGTTTTCTGTATTTGTGTTATCTGTGCCTGACTGTATATCATCTAAGAGGCAGGCGGCATTGACGCCCTACCGGTATGGCCAACTTGAGCCTTGCAAGATGTGGCATTCTAGCGATAAGACAGAGGTAAAATAAATGTCCCCGCTTTGAAATAAACCTCGCGTCTTTATCTTGCAAGGGCAAAAAGCTTAACTATAACACCACAGACAATGGTGTACTTCTTAGAGATACTCATGAAAGAAACAGACTGACAGAGACCTAAATCTGAAAAAAAAAATGTTCAATTGTTGGGACTGACTTACTTGGGCCTCAATTTGACTGATAACAGGACACAATAATAATATTATTAAAAGTAAGTTTGTCTCTGATTAAACTGGCAGATCCTTTAATTAAATGCTGTGTTGGTTAACACAGTACCTCAGAAAAGTTTAAATAACTAATAACATTTGGTGCAGAGGAATCTGTGATGTGCACTAAGTAAAACAACACAAATGTTTAGAGAAGAAAATCACGAAGCACAAGGTAAGCCAGCTGTTGTAGAAAGTTAGGAGAGGAATTCAGTAAGACTACTGAAGGGATTTCTTGTCTGCTAAGTTGCTACGAGAAGTGGCATTTCTCTCAGGACATGGAATACCTCCTCTCAACTTAGTACAATAACGTGGCCAACCCCACTGACACTACAAGAGAAGCTGTATGGCCCGACGGATGAACTAAGCAGGACGGCTCTGTATATGACAGATACGGGATTTCAAGTATGATGCAATCAAGAAGAAGAAGAACTTGGTACAATTGTGTTTTTACAAGTGGTTTACTTTGAGAAAAGCAATGTTTGACTGACTGAGAAAACATGAGACTTATTGGAATTCTGAAGGACGTTTTTTTTATTGCGATGAATTTTGAAGAATTAAGACCAGTCAGAGCTGATGATTGCATTTAAAGTCATAGAATATGTACAGCGTAACTCGTATTTAACAAGCTCGGATTCAATGAGAACTAGGATTCAATGAGAGGAGACGGATTCCCCGTTTTTTTCCTTATTTTTAAATCAACAACAATAAGACAATCGAGTTGACACAGGCGTGCATTTAAACGACTTGGTCTTTTTTTTGCACAGCTCATATGCAGGAATTTCAGGCACTACTTGTGACTTCTCTTTATACATTACTTGCTCAGTGCCTGAAATCATCTACACAAAACCTCGTGTTTGCTATAACGAACACTTGGATTCAACGAGATTTTAGGTCAGGCCCGGCAAATTCGTTGAATTCGAGTTCCACTGTAATAAAGTACGGTATGGAATGGGGTACATCATCCTGTCATAACAGTAAGGTCACATGCACTTACAAGACAGGACCCACCTCTAGGGGTTAAGCTCACTGGGTGGAGAGCAGAGAAAACTCCTCAAAGTAAAAAAAATGAAGTCCAAAAATGCTCCGCCGGGAATTCGAATTTGGGTAGATTCACACCCACGTAATGTGATAATGCCACACATTGATTCTTTTATTAACGCCTCACATCATGTTTACTTAAAGACTGATACCTTTCATCTTGATTGCATGCACTCATTATCACTTAAACACAATGGAAGTCAAAAACGCATTCCATACATCTGACAGTACGCCTTCAATGCAAAGTACCTAAACACTAGCAATTGAATTAGCAGACGGAAAAAAGAAGAAACCATTTAAGTTGAAACCTAGACTGTAGTACCCTGTCTGTAAGTCATAAAACTTTAAACATAATATTCTGAAAAGAAGAGCAAAAAGGCAGATACATGTATACATGTATTTACATTTAGAACAAAATCAAAAGTATTTTTACCAACAATAGCGAATTGTAACCTAAAAACATCTTTAAAATGGAAACCGTTACCAAATCAGTTCACTTTAAAGCTATCGCTTCCACAAAACCACATTGCTCTACATGCAACTGAAAGGAGACCATTCCTTAATAGAGTACAACACGGATAGATCGAATACAGAAGACTCGAAATTACGCATCTGTCGAACTGTGCCTGCTGTCCAGTTTTTTCTTTCTTATTTTTCTTTGTAAGATATCCCTCGAACTACAGATCTGTCGAACTTCTAGGGCTGATCCTGACAAATTTGACCTATCTTTGTAATAGGTAGATTGGAAAATGTAAGCCCCTATCAACACAATTAAGATCATTCAGTAGGCAAGCTACTTTAAGGCTGCCAGTTTGGGCAAGCCTTGGCTAAGTGGGATGCAGCAGCATCCTAACAGACAGCAGAAATCTGTAAAATAATTTACAGTTGAAATTGTTACAAGAGACAAAACAGACAGTGGTATAGAATTATTCTTTTTAATGGAATTGTAGTTGAAACAATATAAAGGCAAAGAGACAAAATGCATTTACTGAAGAAGAAATAGGAAAGTACTGATTGTCACATAAACTATAACAAACAAGCTTTATCTTGTTCAGACTATTCAAAGACAAAACTTCAAAAGTAGACATGTACAAATTACTCTCAGATAACAGGTGATTTAAACCCTTTAAAGCTTCTTCACAGTGCATTCCATTGGTGAGTCTTCATTCATCATAACAAAGAATTTTGTCATACACAAGCCAAACAAGGTAATTCTTTTTACTTTCCTTGAGTTGCGACAAATATCAACAAGGTCAAGTTTACCAACTCTTTGCCCAAGGCACAGACTTGTTCTGCTAAACTGGGCACTGTCATGGCTGCTGCTCTTTGCTGTTTATAAAAACTTCACTGCTAAGCGTGCACACATAGTGGGCTGCGCCATTATACCCCATTGAAGGGCAAAACACCAGTCTCCCCATAGTCCAATGCATGCGGCACCTCCCCTTTTGCCTTTCATTTGGCTCAAATTGTGTCAAACAGTGTGCTCCAATGTGAACCGCGAAACATCAGAGTGCACAGTCAGGGATATTTTAATACAAGCCTATAGTCCAAGATGAGTACTAAAATCAATTTCCCTTTTCTTCTTGAGGGAAAGTACGAGACCTCTGCACTGATGGAGACTGTGAGAGACAAACAGGAGGGATGTGGACCAGACAGATCTATATCTTTCTGAAGAGTCTACTTCTACAAATGAGTACTTGAATAAACGACTAAATCACGGGTCAACTTTGAGAGGCACTTCACCTTGTAACATGGTCACACTCAGAAATAACATAGAAGTAAATTCCTCGATATCATTGTGCGAAGCAAATTCCTCATTATTGTAGTGTAGTCTTCATATGAAATCTGAATAAAGTCAAAGTGGAGAAAATGACAGACACTGTGGAACACAACCCATTAAAATGACACCTCCTTGATGCCAAAATCTAGACTAAAAAGATTTAATTTTATGAAAAATGCTTTGTTCACTTATAATAATACAACAATACCTACAGATGCTGCCACTCCCAAGATGGCACATAATATTGACGACACCTTCCATGTATCACTACAACAATGTTGTCGGGCACAAACAGGCCAAATCAGCAATTTCCATGATTTTAATTTTTTAAAACCTTTTTTTTCTTTATTTGATCTACAATAAGGCGTTCCAATATCTAGTTTAAAATTAAAAACACTTCATATCCCTCAAACACATCGGAGGCAGGAGGGCGCTCTGGTGTGGTTTGCTCCTTTTTTCCCAAACAAAGATCTATCGTCATCATCACTCCTTCTAATGGTATGCTACTCTCTCTTAAGACACCTAATCTTCAGCTCATATATAATATATGACTTCACAGTGTTGTGGGTGCTGTAAAGCTCTCACTTAAGCTATACTAAAGCAAAAACCTCAATGAGTCAAACTTACGAAACCTGGTGACCCAACATTTCTTGTTCCTTTATGAAGTTTTTGCTCCTCTGGAAATATTAGCTAGCACTGCCCGGGCCTGCTGATGACCGGCACCATCGGCTTGTTGATAGGACAACTAGCGGATTTATAACAACTTTTAAGAATACAGCACTGGAGTCCACTTAAACGAAATTCGCTTAATCCAAAAACAGCAGTAAACTGAAAGAAAGTAAAATCACTTTTTTCCTTTCAATCTAGGCAACCTCTCTAAACTGAAAACCTGGCAAAGCCAAAGAAAATCAGATGACTTTGGTTTAAGCGGACTCCACTGTATAATAATGCAAACGGCGGTTGGGGGGAGGGGGGGGAGGGACTGTAGTTTATGTTATGAAAAGGTGACTAGAGTCATGGGTGTCCACATAAATTGTTGTGTGTTACTGTTAGCCAAATGAGAAAAACTCAACTAACATACTATGCAACAAACAAATCTAAAAACTTTTTAAAGGATCACAGTAGATCCACTTGGCAAAAAGCAACACAGCATGCATTTCAGACCACGGAACGAAAAGTATTCTCCATAAAATTGGAAAAATCTATGTGAATGAGTGTTATGTGTAAAATTGTGTACACAAAATGAGTAGCAATGCGACAAAATGAGTCCTTTGTCACACTCAGTTGTTTCAAGATAAAAAAAGGCAATATCTCCATTTTCTCCAAGCTGTGTGTTTCTGACTCCCTACCTCAATCTATAATTTTGTACTCAAAGCAGTGATAACATTTGTATTACCCTCCACACTTAGGGGCTGGAACAGATATTCAATTTGATATCCTGCTGTCCTACTACATTGTATATAATTAATGCATGGCTGAGAAAGTTCCTCCTTATGTGGTTGAACTGGTTTTCTTGTTTATTTGAAATGTTTTTTCTTGTGTGTATTGAGACATATTCTCAGTAATCATGTCATGGATGTAAAGTGGTCAGAGCTTATACATGTACTTGTACGGGATAGAACGCTATATATAAATGCAATCTATTATTATTATTATTACTATTATTATTAATATATCCATTGAGTTATATTGTCAGAATGTGACATGTGACTCATTTTGCAGTGTTGCTACATGTGTACACAAATACTAAAACACAATGACACTGGGTGAGGAATGTGTGTGGCCTTGAGTCTGAGGAGAATCGCAGTTGACATAACCATATTCTTAAAAAGACAAAACTCTTTTTGTTTAAAAAGAAAACAAAAAAAGAAAACAAGAGTTTCTTTCCACAAATCACAGGATACACCGTCACACCACATTTCTATTGAAATTTGACTTCCAAAGACAGTGAAAAAAACCCCAAAATTTTTACACACTTAAAAACATGACCGGATAATAAAAGAACCTCAAAGAATGGCAATTCTGGATCAGAATACGAATGGCTTTCGATGGATCTCACCAGCATTGGCAACATGCTCTGTACACTACAGATACCCTTTCATTTGTTAAGAAATTTATATACAGTACAGGGAGAGAGGACATACATTATTATATAATAAATACAAATGGAAGTTCCTAAATACATTTAACACTCAAAGAACACCAAAAACCATGAATGCAACACACCACATCAGCTGTTTTCAAGCAGTTTGCGGTATTCGCAGACTAAAAAATATCAACATAGAGATTAGAATCAAAATGATCAACGACTTTGTTGTTTCAATGAAGTTACCAACTAGCAGCTGGCTGGATTTCTACTTCTTCGCTATATTATGTCTGCTTTGATTGTATCTGTCTGTTTTATCTTTTCCCAGCACTAAAAAATGACAGTCATTGTATCCATGTGCTTCCCTTCCATTCGAACTTTTAAAGTATCAGTTTAACATTACATTCCTTTCTATATTGTAAATTTTGACAAACTCAAAAGCTGTACTGGAATACGTCATAAAATAATGTCACACAGTAGGCCTTCATACAAAGTATACAAACCACCTCAGCGAGTCAGTAATCGAAATGATGAAAAGGGTAGAGAATTATCCGTATCAGTGTACAAACTGTCCTTACACGGGTTGTGAACCTTTTGTTGGGTGCTATAATTTTTATCTCCTTATCTGTTTCTAAACATCACCTCCGTTCGTAAATTAAAAACTCCGAACTCACAGAATTTAACTGCAGTTGAGCCTGTTCTAACAGCCACAAGTCCAAGACAATCACCTGTACAAATAACCATTCCCTCTTGCATTAAAAAAATTTATAATGGCACTGTTCAAAACGTTCACCTGTCTTACATAAACACTATTTTCCTTGACAGCGGGTAGCCATCTTGGACAATTTTAGCTATAATTAGAACCAACCTCCTTGATCCATGAAACGAATAAAAGAATGGGTTATTTTTGGCTTTTTCTAATAAAAGAAAGGGAGAGAGTTTACAACTCACAATGTCATGACCTGACAACTGTAGCATTTACTCGGGGCACTACACATCTCATTGAAGTTGACACAACTCAATAACATTTATCCTAAGGTACATGAATATCCTAATAAATATGTACACATTTGTAGATCACCTTAAATGATTAAAGATCGCTTATAAAGCTAACATGTTGAATGCACTGAATCATCAAAATAAAACATTACAAATTCAGGCATTCCAATGTTGAAAAAGATAACCCCATTTTAGACATTAAAATGTCGACGAAGATAACCCATAAAACCACAACAGAACAAATAGAATGTTGTCAAAACAAGGATGAATCTACTGAGCGCAATAAGAAACAAGCAAAAAAACAAAACAAATCAAACAAGCTAAAGGCAGTGGGAAGGAATGCACGATTGTGGAGGGGGAAAGTGTTCTGTACAACAACAACGAGGGATATGGAGATCCCGCCATATCTGACTGGACGTTTACCACATAGGTCCAGCCTCTTGAAACAACCTACATTGTGTGCTACAAATAGAACATAAAATAATAATCTGGGCCACTCCAAGAAAAATGAAACTGAAGAGACACCACAGGCAACACAGACATGACATGATGACTTGATGAAAAAAAAATTCTAAGCACTGATAGAGCCATTTTTTATTATTTTCTTTAGACAGAGGCAATCTTCCTCTTAGTTTTTAGCTTTAGTAAAAGTTTTACTGCACTTGCAACACAATAAGGTCATAGGCCATACAAGTGCTGGTGAAGATTTAGAGGAGTTGCAAGAGAGTAACTAATACAAAAAAAGGAGGGGAGATAGGGTGATAGATGTTCGATATGAAGGAAGGCCAAACCACACCAGAGCACCCGCCAAACTTCCTCTGACACCCCCCGGCTCTATAACGCTTTAAGATTTTTTCAGCAGTTCATCATCCCTGCACTATGTATTTCATTGTAGTTTCATTTTTCATGGAATTGCCTTATTTCAAAACGAAGTACATGTATATCAACAGCAGCTGAAAATTTCTCAACACAACTTCAGTGACCAGAATTTTCTCACTAGAAGAATAGGAGATATAATACTAAGGCCAATAAAACACAAAATAACAAGACACAATTTAGAACACAACCTGCAAAGGAAAAATAACATCGTCAATGTCCCAAGTCTGACCATGTATATCTGCAAAACAGGTCAAACATTTTTTTTTGTTTCAATATTATATAAGCCATTAGCAACCGTAATGTTACAATTGGTGATAATATAATAAGCAAAAAGAACACTCTAGCCAAAATCTGAGCCATTCTGGAAGATAAAAAGAAAGAAATTACAGGTTTTTGTTTGTTTGTTTTATAAAAAGTGTTTGACTTAATTTGGCAGTTACAGGGTTAGAGCCGCATCTCAACAATGTTAACTTTAAAGCCAGTAAGGAACAAGGAATGAAACACGACCACCTCAGAGAATGAAAAAATTATTTCGCTTTGACGAAGAACATTAAAAAGCAGTACTATAGTCATCAAACTGTTAAACTGTCAATACCATAAACTTCTAGTCAGAAACTTTCCATGAAGATAAAGACTGCATATTTATTTCACTTTAATCTCACATATAAAATAACTACTATAAACCTTTGAAGGACATGTATGAGTATTTTTTAAAAAGCCCAATACTCTTTCGTTTCATTGAACATCCTTTTAATATCAACTACAACAAATAAAAGAAACCGACCTGGCAGACTCTGATGATCATACAAAACGAAATACAAATAATCAAAGATTTGAAGAGAAACTTCAACTCTCACTGTCTCACTTTCAAAACATAGCGGTAGTAAAGCCCAAACCAACACTTTTTGCTCTTCTTAAGCACTTACTACACTTAAACAATAATCACTCCTGCCCACTCACAGATGAGATAACAGACTTTCACACATCCAAGATTCCATGTGCACATGTCATGACAGAAATGGATATTTCAGTATTCAGTGTCTAAGGGAACATGCATTTGAAAATGGGGGGGGGGGGGGGGGTTCTAGAGTGTGTTTAATTATTTATGATTTATGTAGAAAGCTGCAACATCAAGAAAGCTCTATTGGCTAGGATTCCCTAGTTTCTTTTTATTTTTTGTTGTCAGAGTAGCTAGCATTCAATATCCTAAAATCTACAGCATACAAAGTAGGTGGGATAATTTGTAGTCTTTAATATATAAGGGAATAAACTAGACCTAATACAAAGAAAAAAACTGTGCTGAGTGCTACATCAATGGCATTTTCAAGCTTTCAATATTTTGTTCATCAGATGATCACAGAAACATTGTGACATCCATCTCACATAGACATCTGAACTCAAGTTACTTCATGTAACTAGATAAAGCAAAATATATAGTGTGGCTTTTATTTCTTAAGCTCTCAAATTCTCTGTACCTCTAGGAAAATCTGATTTATAATTTTCTTTGGTTCACATGAAAGTCCTAAACTAACAAATTAATTTGGCAACATGGGAGTAAACATGAATTCATTCAGAACTTATTTCCTCCTGTCCTGCAGTATGGATTGAACAGCAATTTAATGTAACTCTGGTCAATGAGGCATTGTATGGTATAGTGGGCTGCAGTATGGTACGTTAAGGTGTAAAGGTTCGGTATGGTATGGGATCAACACTCTCATCTATACTGTAAAATATGACAAAGCACCTGGTCTATTCTTTTAAGTTACAAAAAGAAGCCTTCTGCCACAACTTCAGATAAGCTGTTCACATTTTAAGACAAAAAGACATGAAAGAGTACTGAAACAAAAAGCAAAGGAAAATGGGAACAAGGCGCTAGATGATAGTCTTAGGTGCACTAATACGCCTCATATCAGATCGCTAAAAATAAAAATGTAATCGTCAGCTTCCACTTTGCCTATCAGGTCCAAACCTAACTGAGGATTATGATGTCCCAGCAAACAGAAAGTAAACAATATCATTGTTCAGTCAATTCGAGGAGGAGAAAGAAAACAACTAGAACAAACATTTGGCTGCAAAGAGGACAAAACGGAACAAAATGCGGAAATCAAGGGAAGGAAAAGCCAAATGCAAAACAAAAAACACTCTGAAAGAGAAAGCTGTTAGGAAAAGTCAGGAGAACAACGAAATCAGCTTCTGACTTGAAGCACAAATCATGACACACTTCAGCTGTATCTAGAGAGAGGAATGGAACAGAATCCCCCTGGACCCATCCTATATGAGCATTCAAGTAACTTCTTATTATGATAACAGACTATGCTTAAGCACATATATTTTTATTCTTTTATTTATTGAAGACTCTAATCTAACAGTTAACCCCATGACTGCACTGTAAATGTATCCCACATCTCACACGTCTCGATAATCCGCCGCCCAGTGCTGTGCAAGCGTATCTCCTCTGGCAGCTAAAGCCTGTGTTTTATGGTTTGGTATACGCAGGTCTGGTCAATGGATGAATTTATCTCTTCATTTCTCTTTCTGTTGATACAGTTGTACCGATCCGTCTCTTATTAAAAGAGAACAAACATCAATTAAAGATAGTGACCAGTGATGTCTTGTGCACAGTAGAATTTTCCTGAGCATGTGAGGTGCATATGTGGTTAGCAGTCAAGGGTTAATGGTTAAAAAAAGTTGGCACAAAAAGGATCTTATACCATTCTGTCAATAAACTAACACTACGCTGTATTAGTAAAACTGATAATGATATCACAAGAATACCTGAGACAGTAAAAAACAAGCATGCAATTCTTGCCAACTCCTGATGATCCTGTCATTAAAATTATTATTTCGCCTGAAAACTTTAATTCTGAAAATTTGTGAAAACCAGGTCCACGAAAAACCCATCCTGAGGTAAACAAGTCCCTAAAACTAGTAGGTGTCACAACGGCAGCACACTGTCGTCTCGAGGATCAAGTAGATTGAGCATCACATGGAATGACAAACAGACAACCCACCACCTGACTCAACTTAAAACATCTCAACATATAACCAGCGAACAACTGAATAAAATATATCCACTTTGTAAATTTCTAATTTTCACTGCATACCATTTTATGTCCAGTCTTTCTTAATTTCACGAACACATGTATATTAGTAATTATTACTGAACAGAGACAAAAGATGAATATCACTCAGAAGCCTTGATGGAATTGGCTTTTGTCTGAACAGCACATGCCACGACAGGTAGCAGTAAATGTCAGATGCTTCAGGCTGCTGCTCATGTTTTTGCCTACACAAAATAACCCAAACATCCTCACCCCAGAAGCAAATTTATCTCATAAAAAATGTTGTTGGCGAGCTGTGGCATTATTAACCAGAAAAAAACAACCCCAGACAGAATGCATTAATAAAGCCTGGTTGGGAAAGCACACACAACTTAATACAACTTTATGAAGTTACTGTCAAAAGGGCTGTACCAATCAGCCAATGACATGCTTTTCCTGTACCACTCAGCCAAAGATGTGCTGCGACCAATGATGCAGTTCAACTATTGACAGGTTTCAACCAATGATGTGTTTCAATCAATAACATGCTTCAGCCAGTGATGTATTTCAACCAACAACGAGTTTTAACCAATCACTTGTGTCAATCAATAATGTGTTTCAACCAACGATGTGCTTCAACCAATGATGAAGTTCAATCAATACCGCGTTTCAAACAACGACAAGCTTCTTCAGCCAATGATGTGTTTTTAGCCAGTGACGCGTTTCAACCACAACATGCCTCAACCAATGAAGTTTTTCAGCCAACGATGTGTATCAACCAATGACATTCAGCCAATGACATGCTTGAGCATGAACTGCACAGCTTCCTGTCGTCGGAGGACACGAGGCACTTTGTACTGGTTGGAGGCGGCCGGGCTGTCCTGCAGCATGAACCGACGCAGTTCCATGAAGGAGCCGGGGGTCACCAGGTGCACTTGCATGGGAGAGATGCTGCCCTTGTGGCGGAACGACGAGTACGGGTACGAGTGGACCATCATCGAGTCGTCCAGCTGGGGGGAGCAACAACGAAGTTAAGGTTTTATAATGTTTGTTGGAGTTTGGTTTGTTTGTTTGAGTAAAGAAAAGCACATCAACACAATTATGGAAATTTAGTGCTGAGGAAAAGTAAGACACACAAACAGAAACAACAGAGGGAAAGTAAAGAAGTAGGACCTACCAGCAGCGCCCTCCAACCAAACCACCCCGCTTTTGTTTGAGTGAAGAGAAGCATATCCACACCATAAAGGTAATTTAGTACGGGGGGGAAAGTAAGACAGACAGACAGACAAACAGAAACAACAGAGAGAAAGTTAGTCTTGTTTCAGAAAAAGCAAAACAGAAACATCAAAACGTCTGCTGTTAGGTTTAGTTAGAGTTTTACGGCACTTGCAACACAATAAGGTCATATAAGTGCCGAAGATTAGAGGTGTTACAAGAGAGTAACAAACACAAAAAAAGAATGAGGGGAGATGGAGATGATAGATGTTTTGATAGGAAAGAAGGAGCAAACCACACCAGAGCACCCGCCAACCACCCACACGTCTGCTGTATCTGCGATACTGACCTCACTGGGAGCTCTGGGTCGAGACCAATATGCCGGAGAAATGAAAGAAACTAACATTCTTCATTTTCCAGAAAAATAGGTTACAATGCCATCAGTGCTCTAAGCACATAGCACCATAATTTTTTTAAAGAACAAAACAATGTAGTCACATATACACATCACTGAAGGTCACTGCAGCACAGCATCCCCTCCTGAGCTCTGGTAGACATGTCTTAATAAATAGACTGCTCAGTATTGTAGTTTTCACTATCAAGAAACACCAGTCTAACTAAGGAAAAAGATTGATAATAATTAAAAACATTAAGTTTAAATGTGACATTACTTGCTTTATTTTAGACAGAGGAACTAAACTCTTTCACTCAAACACACTTGTGAGAACTATTAATTATAATGACTATTTTTCTTCTTTTTTCTTTTGCAATAATTCCTCCTACCAGCTGTTCTTTCGCTTTTCTTTTTTCAGGAAACCATTTCAATACATTTAATAAAAACAACATTTCACTGTATCTTTAATATGGAAGCACTAAAGCATCAAAACAACAACACTAATGACAAAGAGATGCATTTGGCAGACAGACAGACATCAACTCTCACCATCTTCTTCTGACTGGATGAAATCTTTTTGACCTTGGTACTGTCTAATCCCTCCAGTTCCAAGAACACATGGTAACATGGCTGAGAGGTCTTAAAACCTGGGGGGAAAAATGTATAAGAGTCCTTACATGAGTTTACATTAAGTCATCAACGTCAAATAATTTCTGTATTGTGCGTATTACAGGAGTGAATAACCTCACACAAATGAACCACAAGTCAGATAAATACAAGATTTAAAAAAATATTTCTTCAATAAATAAGGATGCAAATGATTCTATAAACCATGTATACTTTCTTTAAGCCTCAAATTTAGCTTCAAACACCATAGATGTCGGACCTAAAAGACATACATGTACACGGCAAAAGTGATCAAACACAAGTTTTATTTTGACAGGAATTGGAGAGCTACCAAGGGATACAAAGATTTTAAAAAATTAAACTCTATCCCATTTGTAAGGACCAAAATGAACAACCCCAAGAACGGTTGGATTGACAAAGATAAGTAGAGAGACGTTTACATTTTAAAATTTATAAACGAAATAAAAACTGCACGATAAATAAAGAGACATTATTATTTAAAATTCATAAATTGGAATAAAAGCGTATGATAAGTAAAGAAGCGTTATAATTTTGAGAACATAAACTTGAATTAAGAACTGTACAATAAGTTAAGTGGATTTGTCATTTTCAGAACATAAACTGGAATAAAAACTGTAAACTTGACCCAGAAATGTCTTTGAATTTCCAGACCACCTTAAACTTCACCCAAATGGCAGGCAGCCCTGCCACGCTGCAAGAGAAAAATCTCACCTTTGGGCACGTCCATCTGGTCGAGAATAACGCTCTCCATACAGCAGTAGTCCACAAGCTTCACGTTGGACCACACCTTGGTGATGGTTCCCTTGAGCACCTCGTAGAACATGGACTCCGAGACCTTCTCTCCTCGCACATTCAGGAATTGGCCTTTTCTACAGAGGGGTACACAATGTGCCCAAAGAAAATAGAGAATGAATTAAGATTTCACAATAATGTGTCCCGAGATAGTGGAAAAAAGATGGGAAGGATAAATTAAATAAATTTTCTCAAAAGTAAAGATGGGATGAACAAAATTAAACAATTCCTTTAAAAAATATTTACTCATTCTATGTTACAGACACCATAAATGGTGCCTCAAACAGAAGTAGAATAAAGTCTGGGGGAAAAAATCTAAAAATTCTCTGCTCACAAACTTTGCACCTCAGACAGCAGCATGAGGACATTATATATATTATATTACACTGAGGTAACAAGACTCATGGGGGCGTTTAGTGTGTGTTCATGAGGGCCTGCTCTCTCTACATCTTTTCAGCATTGCCACAGTTACTATCTTCTTAATCTGTTCCAATCACAATTTGTGGTGTAAAGGTTTGGCTCCTCACTCTGCAGAATACAATATTCCATTCCAACATGGAAATAAAATTTTAATATTATCTCAATTTTTCAGCCAGACCTAGTATTCCTTACAGCCCAGAACGGCCAAGATAGGCAGGGTCAAAACAACACACCTTCCTACTGATCTAAATCAGGCATGGATAAACTAGTCTGCAGGCCAGATCCAGCCCATGAGCAGTTTCAGTCTGGCCTGCGGGTTAACCCAGTTATTAATAATGAATGTGACCTGCAGTGGGTTGATATCTAATGAAAACCAAACTGTCCACTTCGAAAATTAAAATCAGTAGTTCTCACCCACCTGGAAGCAATAGATTTAATATTTTATCTTATGAAATGCCATTGAGCAGCATTTTTGATGTTATAGGGTCAGTTTTTATCTCACTTTTGAGAACTCGGCAACGCCCAATTTTCTCCTTGCTTTGGACCATAAGATAGGCGGATATGGGAAAGCATGTTCAAGTCGCGGGCCGGATTAAGCGATGCCGAATGGGCCTCTATGGAGGTGTGAAAAATTAACAACTAATCTTTTCTTAGTAAATAAAACCAGGCAGTTATCTTGTGGTAAACTGTAAATTATCAAAGTTTTTTTCATAGACAGAAAGAGCTTGATTAGAAAAGCACTGACAAAGAAAAAGGGTACACCAAAATCCTGGGCATATCAATTTGATATGTTTCAAGAGAAAGTAAAAGCTATAATACGATACAGGTTTCATGCCCCTATAAACCTAGATAGGTGATCTGTGAAACAGGAATAAAAACTCCTTATAAGATCCATTTTGAAGAACAATTCGAACTGAACTATGGACATCTGTACCATCCAAACTAACACTGACTGAGCTATTGATGCAGCTGTTCAAAAGAATCCATACGACTCGAGTCCCTATCTCTCACAAAGCACAAATGTAGCAGGAAATGGTTCCCTAGAAAATACACGTACCTGTACTTAAACTCCACAATAGGGCACTGATTGTGGAAGCCCACAACTTTGATCACGTCCCCGAAACGGTACCGGTACAGGCAGCTGGGGTTGGTGATGACCAGCTCGTAGGTCTGGCCCTCCTGAACCTGAGGGGAAATTTTACAGAGGAAAAGAGAGACAAATGAAATAATGAAAAAGAAAAAACAGCAATAATAGACAGCATTTGTATAATGCAAATTCCTGCTCAACAGCAAGCTCTATGCACTTTACAATCTATATTATTACCCCAGCAGACCTGATAGCATTCTCAGATATTTATCCATGATGTGTAATTAGATTGCAAATCAGAACCATTTGCGAGGGCCGTAAAACTCTTACTAACTAAATTCTTATAAAGTGCAATCAAAAGTGTGCACACATTTCAGTGACATTTGGGGGGGGGGGGGTTCAAGATGGAGAAGAATATAGTAGCAATAGCATTCTGAGGAACAAAACAGTTTCCTATGCGAGTAAAAAGTTGCACATAGATGCAATAATGGCCATTTATGCTGAATTTTTTTTTAGCTTTTACCTTTAGAACCATCCAACTATCCATATAAACAAATATGACACAAAATAGCACAATTTCCAAAGTCGTTTTTTTTGTTTCGAGAAACCTTAAAAAAATAATTTTAAAAGCAGTGCTTACCTAAGTCAACTTTATGACTTGAGCAAGAGGGAAAATGTCTCAGTAACTGGATATTTAGTGCACAAAACAAAACTCTGCTAAACTGAAGATACAAAGCAGGCATTTTGACATGTAGCAATAGCTACGGATTTGAAGAAAATGACTTGGACAATTGTGTTATGATGATGCCAATGATACATAAGATTTACATACAACAGACATGAGTAAAACAGTGGGGCACCTACCTGATGCATGAGCTTTGTGTGAGGCTGGTCTTCATCCATGAGGTAGTCGGGTATAAACTCGAAAAACTGTGTGCGCGGGTGTAGTAGGTAGCGTGATGGCAGCACACCAGGCCAGATGTTCACACCTAGCAGACCCTCAGATGCCGCGTAGATGGGAGAGTACAGCGGAACTCCTGCAGAATGTTTTAGTTTAGTTTAGTTTTAGTAAGAGTTTTTGTTTTAGTAGAGGTTTTACGGCGCTCGCAACTGCATAAGGTCATATGAGCGCCAGAAGAATAGAGGTGTTACAAGAGAGTAACAAACATAAAAAAGAAGGAGGGGAGATAAGTATGATAGATGTTTGATAGGAAAGAAAAAGCAAACCACACCAGAGCACCCGCCAACCATCCACTTAGTAAGAGTATTACGCCACTTGCAACACAATTACATCATATGAGTGCCAAAGATTAGGGGTGTTACAACAAGTAAGTAATTTACACAACAAAGAAGGAGGACAGATAAGGAGTAAAGATGTTTTTATAGGAATGAAGGAGCAAACCACAGCAGAGCACCCACCAACCATCCACACAAAACGTACGTTTGTTTGAGTAAAGACAAGTATGTCCACACAATAATGGTAATATAATGCAGGGAAAAGGGAAGACTGACAGACAGAAACAACACAGGGTGAACAAAAAAGGTATGGGACTTACTCAGAATTGCCCTCCAACCACCCACATGATAAAGGACAGGGGTCAGTTAGTTAAGTCTTAGTAGAGGTTTAATGGCGCTCGCAACTGTATAAGGTCATATGAGCGCCAGAAGATTAGAGGTGTTACAAGTAAGAGAGCAACAAACATAAAAAAGAAGGGAAGATAAGGACAATAGATGGAAAGAAGGACAAACCACACCAGAGCACCCACCAACCACCCACAAAGGGGTCAGTGGAATATTCATTTGCCTCAAAGGATTGTTCTCGGATTCCAGAGAGTAAAACTGAACCAGTGATATCGCCTCTCCTCTTGGATAGGAAGCTACTCTGTTGGCGTCTCTTTAAGATTAACAAGCCAAAACAAGACAAACATAGTCAAAGATGCTTTGTCAGCTTAACAGATATATCAAATGAAAAACAAACAGACTGACAGACACACAAATGGAATCAAACAGATTCATAGAAATCAACTCATTCCTTTGCCAAAACCATCACATCACCCCCACCCAGCCTTTTTTTTTTCACTTTCCACTTTCTTTCTAAAAAATACCACATATGGCAAAATGTCAACAACAAAAAAAAACCACTTTCAGGTGTCACCAGTCATAACTAACCAGTAATGAATACCTAAAGTGTCAAATTAACATATAATATGGTCTCTACAGCCTGTCAAAAGGATTTGAGGAAACAGCAGCTGTGTGGCTTAAATAGCATATCACATGCCGAGCCCTCTCCACTGTGGCTAACAACTGATAACTGAAAACTCAAGGGAAAAACTAAACTGGATATAAAATGACCTGAAGCTGAAATTTAACAGAAATCGATATTTGTTCCCTGTTGAGCTCAAGTTATGACTACGGTACAAAATCAAGCAAGGATTGTTCACGTAATCCTTGCCTCCAGCCATTAGGGAATTATGCATTCTTGCTGAAGTCTTTCTTGTTCAAAACTGATTTCAGTTAGAAGGTAAAATTCAAAACATAATCATGTTGGGGGCCCCACAGGTCAAGAGTCAAGAAAACTCAGATTCACAAAAATAGAGAAAATAATGGCCTATCAGAAGAAACTAAGAGATGGAACAGTATCAGAGACCTTCCCTTCAGCATGCCGTAGTCAAATCTAATCCAAATTATTTCTAAACAGTCAACCAGGAGCGTATCCACCTGAATTTGATCAGAAAATGAGAACGAGGAGGAAACAAATCCACACAGAGCCTGGAGAGAGAATGTCATGGGAATGTGAGGAGCAGGAACCTGCTGGGGTCAACTCCCACCCAGCCACAAGACCTAATTATTATTGATGCTTGGGTCCCTACCTTTGCAGTAGCCACTACGCAGCTTATCCCCGTACAGCTCAAAGGTCCCTGTGTCTGCTCCGAGGATCATGTGCAGCTCCGGCCACAGCCTAAGAGCCAGTCCTTCTCGGCCGCTTCTCATGGCTTCTCGTACTTCCTTCGCTCTTGTCGGGTTCGGCTTCAAAAGCTGCTCAAGTTCTTCTCGGATTTCCGGGTCAATGTTCAAGTCCGGGTTGAGACTTCCTGTTTCGATGTCCTGGGTGAGCTGCTCAAAGTGGTTCTCGAGGGCAGCGAAAGTGTTGAAGATAATGGAAGCAAAGTTGGCCTCGATCATCCCGACATGGGGATCCAACAGAGCAAACAGGAGGTAAAAGTACAAGGCCTCCGGTTCAGATTTCACTTTGTAAGCAGGGGGAGGGGTGGTGTAGATGTGGAGAAGTCCTTTCGATCTGGAGAAGCATCAGATTGACATTACAAGATATCTACCATCATGCTACCAATTTGCCAAAAACTGCAACTTTATTCGCCAAAAAAGCAACTTTATTCCCCCCCCCTCCTCTGAACTCTTTGCCCTTTGCCCATTAACTTCTAGAGCGATCTGCTACACTCTGCTCTTCTAACTCCACTGATAAAAGCAACCTGTTTGCAGTACATCCAAATCAGAGAATCATTTCTCCCATTTCCTTTTAACTTTTCAGCACATGCTCATTACCATAAAATCAAAAGGATACAAGTGCAACATATAGCAAGGGTCTGCCCTAAGATATAACATGTTATAATTTAGTAGATAGATTTATCAATATTATAATGGGTTAAAAAAAAAAGTTAACTAACATGGAAATTTGGTCTCACATTAGCATCACGATATAATATCTCAACTAGTCAATCTATACTTCAGTTTCATTAGACATGCATTTTACTAGCAACTCTAAAAACACTATTGGAAACTAAAATGCTGGAATACAGTTCTACAGGACACAGAGGGTAGCAAACCCCTAAGGTTCATCTGAAACCTGCTTTACCTTTTTGATGAGGGTGACAGATGAGCTGTTTAAAAGGAAGAGGAGCATAACAATACAATGAAGGTCATTTGGATCTAGAACCACACAGACAGACAGGAAGACAGATGGACAGACAGACAGGCAGACACACAGACAGATGCACAAACAGACGGACAGACAGGCGGACGGACAGACAGACAGACAGACAGGCAGACAGACGGACAGGCAGACAGATAGACAGACAGAAAGATGGACAGACGGACAGACACACAGACAGACAGACACAGACAGACAGACAGACAGACAGACAGACGGACAGGCAGACAGACAGATAGACAGACAGACAGACAGACAGACAAACAAATGGAGGTGAAGAACTAATTCACATTCATTTGGCATGATTTGGGTGATAATATAATGCATAGTGCAATAAAATTCTGTCACAGTTGTACTGTTGCATGAATAAGCAGCAACAGATGTGTTTAGGAACAAAGACCAAACCAATCAATAAACCTACTGCAACTCTCATTGAATGCGCCTACCTACAAATCAATCCTGGTCTTCCAATAATTGTCAAGTCACTCAATGGATGGCACAAGGTCATCTACATATTAATCTAGGTAAAACTTGGCCCCTTAGCACAAAGTATAATAGTCAAGATAAAAAACCGTTTGCTGTGTACTCAGTCAGAGTAAATTTAGGCTCAGTAAATGAAAACGAGAAACGTAGAATTTTCAACTAACATCATATTTTGTTCATTAAGAAACTAAAACTATCATTTTTCATAAGTACAAATGGATTTTAACCCCCCCAATATGAAATGGTAGGCCTTTCAAATGGGTAAGGTTATCTGAGTGGCAGGACCTCCTAATTTAACATCCACCTTATAAGAAAGCTTTATACCTCACCAAAATAACCCAATTTCAGAACGCCCCCTTGGAGATTCAAATCAGGGCCATCCACTATGTAGTACAGCACGAATCGTAGTATGGGAAGAAATTACTAGAGAGTCGAGAACAAAGACGTCTTGTGACTGTAACCACCCTCTTATAATTTTCCTCTGACAAAGAGTCTCACTTTCCTTGAAAATTCCCTACACTAGAAATCAAACTCTTATCTGCTAAGTACCCAATTTGAAAAAATTTGAAGTTAAAAATTTTGAGTATTACAACGTGTTAAGCTTTTTCGAATGCAATTCTTTAAATATCATTCATGGTAACAACTGCAAACATTCTTACAATTTTGATAGAGCAGATAGAATTTGGTTTCCGACCTCATGGTCTTAGTAATTCAATATGGCTAGAAGAGTCAGATAAAACTTTGTAATTCTAAGACAGCTAATTGACTCAAGTTTACTTTCAACAGGACAACATAGTCAGGTACACAAAATCTTAGAGATAGTCAAGTTCTGAAACATATCCCCCATTCCCTTCCCTTTTGCTCAGTAGTCTAGTATCTTAAGAGCAGAGCCAATGCTGTGTCCAAATCCTTGGAAGAAAGCTCAAAATAAACTTGGAATTTTCTAAGCAGAACACAAAAAGACAACACAATCACCTTTCCGGGGAAGCGGAGTTAGGGCCTATGGGGATTTCCGTGATGGAATATCTCCAGCTGGGAGAGAAGAAGATCTTAAAGTCTTTGTTCAGCAGCTTGGTGTCTGGGTACGCCTCCACCATACATCTGTATAGCACCGAGATACCCTGTGGGAGGTACGCACACAAACACAGGTTGTGAACATAAGCTAACATAATATATTACATTATGTAGAACTGGCCCAAAAAATCTAATCCTTTTTTAAAGAGATTTTAGTCCTTGTATCTCAGCTGTTAATTCAACCTCTCATCTTTTAAATTGTACTGTATGTATGTCATCTAATCATTTAATTTAATGTAAGTTCAATTAAGGGCTTACTTTTAAAAAGATATATTTCATACATATAAAAACATACTAATGCAGAAATGATGAAAGCACAGCACAGAACACACATTCCATCTAATCACAGAAGGAATACAAAAACATATTATTGTCAAAAGAACACCTGTCACATTGAATGCAGGCGAGATGAGTTCAATCCCCAAGTGAGGAAATCTGTCATATTGAGTACCTTCATCTTTCTGTTTTAATGCAGCCAGGATCCCAGCCTGGAAAGTGTGTCCCAGCTATAAATAATAAAAAGTGTGTAGACAGAGGCATAAAACAATCAACAGACAAACAAGCCTACCTCGAGGAAAAATATTTTCGTCTGCTTCATCAGCATAGGGATGATGTTGCTGTTGCCAGAGGTACCCGAGGTCACAGCAAACACGGACGGATCTTTCGCTGTCATCACGTTCTTCTCTCCGCTGAGCATGCGACTCACGTAACGCGAATAGTGATCATAGCGCGTCAGAGGATGTCTTTGCAAAAAGTCTTTGACCGATTTCACTTGATCTAACTAAGAAGATGAAAAAAGGAAATATGGGTTTACAGATAAGTCTTTCAAGCCCTTCCTTCTATCAATATTAAAACTATTAAGCAGAAGTAGACCATAGACAAAATTTGAAATTGTTACAAACGAGCTTCTCTCAAATTTCAGCTCCAATAATACTCACTCCGTCACCCTTTCCCGCCACTCTAAGCCACTTAAACATCTTCACTAACATTTCATTGGATCTCTTTACTAGTTTCATGCACAAGTACAATAAAGTACCTGTTTACGAATAAAATAAGCATATACCAGCTTATTCCCCACATATTATATTATAATACAGCTACACTACACTTACAACGGCCAATAAGCCTAACTTTGCATAGGAATAGAGTAAATACCAGAGACATTCCCTCTGCATTTTCACTGTGATCCCACGACATTCTCCCAAAGTGAAAATCTTCATACTATGTTCAACAGTAAACAAAACTCTGTAACCAAACCTCAACAGAAGGAAGTAAATGAAATGGTGCTAAACAAGCAAGAAACTCTTCAAAAATGAGAAGAAAAACCAAACAGTCACTTTTTTGCTTCACCCGAGACCCCAGCTCCCCCCCCCCCCCCCCCCCCGAAAAAGAGAAAATAGAAAGAAAGGAAAAAGAAAGTAAACTCAATTAACATTGCCAAACATACTTTGAACTCTTTGCTGTATTCTGTGTCAATGTTGTCCAGGATTTGCTGGAAGAGAAACTCTCTTTGAGCTTTCTTGACATCCAGCGTTGCATCCTCCAACTTGCTCCTCATAATACCACCGAGGAAAGTGAGGCTACGCACAGATGTATAGTGCCTGGCCGCATCCCCTAACGTTTGGTCAGGGTACACACGATAACGGTTCACATCCACCGCTAGGTAGCCCAGGCCGGACACGCCAACCAAGGACAGGCCTGTTGAGGATGAATATGGAGAATGGTTCAAAGCACGGGATACCATTTATTCCTTCTTTCTTCATGACAAGGCTATTTATTCTTAAACTTACTTAAGTTTACACATCAAGAGTTACTGTCGTAGAGAATTTACAAAGACTTTCAGTATGCAGTGAGCGTTTAGAAAATTTGATAGCCCAACAACACTGAGTTTGTCAAAGTGGTCCTAAAAAAACCCAGAGCGCAAGTAATAACTTACAGATTCATAAAAACAAAAGTCTTTGCTTTCTAAAAAAAGAGAGTATAACTGCTATCCGAAACTTATACACAGGTACACATTCAAAGTAAAACTGTCAGAGGTAAATTTTGGCAGCCTCATAATAAATTTAGGCATACATATATATATTTAATTAACTGACATACTAACCTCCAAGTAACTTTTTAATAATTCCCATCTCGAAAATGTTCTGATCAGGATATTAATAAACCATGACTGACTTTCTCGTTCCAATTCAAGCCGTACCTCATACTGTGGGAAGAACAAGGAATAGAAATCAAATTATCAGTCATATGACATAGAATGTTATTTTAGTGAGGAAATAGCAGAGAGACTGTCTTTAGTCTTTACAAGAGTAAAAACATTTTTTAAGGTTTCATGCATTTATTAGCAAAAACCAATTTTTCCATCTGATCACTGACATCAATATGGAAAGAAAGATCACCTAGTTTTAGAATTCGAAAAAATACTTTTGAAGGGTTACATCATAAAGTTTAAGAATTTAAAAAATACTTTTCAATATATGACTTTTTCCCCCCTTTATATTTTATGAGTAGACAGCAATCTTAAACTACTAATGCTGAAGTCTTCTGACAGTTTCTAAACTGTTCACTTCCCATTTAAAATGTTCAGATCTTTTGGTATTTTTTTTACTCATCGAGCTGTCTCACACTCAGATATTCTAAGCACTTTTCTCGAACATTTTATATTATTATTTGCTTTAGACGAATTTTGACTTTATCTGCAAATTTTTAGTTTAGGAGATTATGGATCGTATTAAATATTTTCATTACAACTATAGAACTATAATCAATATTACAATTGTAATAATAATTGACTTGTCTATTTAACAACATGGGGGTTTCGTGGTGGTTGGTAGGGGGGGAGGGACCATGCCCCTGCACGTATCAGCAATTAGGATTGATATTTACTTGAAAACAATTGACATTTGCGAGGTTTTAGGGGCCATAAGCGAAAAAAAAATTAACCTATATATGGTATGGTAGTTTAGCCCTCAAAACAGTGAATCTGTGTTGGGGGGTCTTTAGGTAAAAATTTACCAATCTTTTTTTTACCCCCCCCCCCACCCCCAGCCAGCTCAATTTCAAAAGAATTTAAGGTAAACCACTTATTTAGAAAAACAACAGGCCTGAAGATCTAGATCTAGTAATTATTCAGGTTTAAAATACATGCATCAGTAAGGCACCTTTTGGCTTCGTCTGAAATACAATACTTTAGGTATTGCAAACTAAAATTTTATTTACAATTCAGCCATCATTATTAAGTACGGCTAGCCTGCCAGTCTAGTCATATTTATTTTAGGCCCTATTAGAAACCTGTTGAGTACACAGGTCTCATATTAGTATATATTCAGCTTTAAAAATACATGCACTGTCAGTAAGGCACCCTTTGGTTTAGTCTCAAATACAAAAATACTTTAAGTATTGCAAACTAAAAATTGATTTACAATTCAGGAGGCCTATTTTTTGCTGTTGGTCAGTCTAGCCAGGGCTAGCCTAGCAGTCTAGCCGTCATCAAGTACAGCTAGCCTCTTCCAAAACAATACGGTCAAGTCCTTTGCCCTTTGCTTTCGGCTTGGAAGGGGAGGGGGGCAAGGGGGGTCTCTCACAGGACCACTGTCAAACATCACAGATTGATTAAGATATAATAAAAGTTACAAGAATTGACCACATTATTCCGAGGATGCAAACCACTCTCTCTGCCAAGTCATGAATCATATTATATTATATCAAGACATTATTAGATCTCTATAGCGTAGAATCTAATATAACAAAGATTTTAAAAATAAACAAAGTGGCTACGTTTATGGCACCGTGAACATAGTTGGCAGGTTACGTTCACGGCGCCCTGTATGCAGTTTGAAGGCGCTGTTGAGGCTACATTCACGGCACTATTAAAGCTTTGTTTAGGGGGAGCATCCACAGCCGGTTTTAGTCAGTGACAACAGTGACATGATATTTAATATTTTGGCCAGCTTCAAGTGTTCCATCCCATGAGATGAAGGAAAACAAAGCGCCCTTACAGAATTAAAGTCGGGTGGTCTATGGGATGTGGAAAATTGGATACGAAATAGGAAACAAGAGGTGAGAGATGGGTAACAGATGGTGGGATTCGGATATGTGACTGGTCATAAAATGTGTACAATAATGACTGTATTGCACCGGGTCAGCTTGGGAACAGACGCAGAGAGAAATGACGGGAATCAATTATTCTTATTTATGTAATAAACACCCCCTCTCTCTCTCTCATTCTGTCTGTCTGTCTCTCTCTACTCTTTCTCTTTCCTTTTCTCTTTCTCTCCCCCCACCACCTCTCTCTCTCTATTTTTCTCTGTCTCTGTCTGTCTCTTCCCCCCCCCCTTCTCTCTCTCTCTCTCTCACTCACA